TGGCCTTTTTTTGGCCAATCCACTCAATGGAAGCAATGGCGATGTTCCCCATCTTTTCACCAACAGGGATCCTTACATTATACACCTGAACATTGCCTTGTAAATGGTGGTTTTTTTTTGGTGGAAAAAGCCATGTTTCAAATGGGCAAGATGTATCTTTTAAGGAGCCCTGACCAAATGACCCCAATCGTCTTGCCAGTGACAGATCATGCAGCCATGCTTGGCTGGCGAGACCCCTCTGCAAGAAGATGTTCTTACTTTCTGTGGGAATGGACAATCCGACCTGTTTCACCGGTCCAGTCCAAAGATCCAAGACCAAATCGCCATAGCCTCCAATTGCTTAAGCCGCCAATGAAACAAACAATAACAGAAGTATTCTTGAGCAAACGGAAGGCAAAGGGAAGGTGGAGTTGGGTCCCGGTGTTTCGCCACACAGTTGGATTACAAACAATAGTAACAATCATAGTAAATACTGGATACACACTCATAATAATAAACAAACATAACAATCATAACCATGGTAATGATAATAATAAGACAAATAAATAATAAGAATAACACAAATAATGATAATAATGGTAATAGCACTGATAATGAACATAATTAACCTAATAATAATAATAATAATAATGTGTATCATAATAGTATTAATGATAATAATATTATTAATAATAATGATAATAATGATAATGATAATGAACATAATAGTAATAATAATAACGATAATGATAACGATAATGATGATGATAATGAACATAACCATAATGATCATAATACTAATGATATTAATACCAATGATGATAATCATCATCATACTATATATATATATACATATATATATATATATATATCGCTGTTCAGGACATCGGCCACGCTTGGAACACAATTCGCCCTTCCGCCAGCTTGGAGCGCCGAGCTTGTTGAAAGGGAACCGTCGAACCGTGAGCTGAAACTTGAGGAGACGGCGCGAATGCAGGGCATGAATGGGATGAACCCATCCCCCCCATCCCCATCCCCCAGCCCATCCAATGGGATGAACCCATCCAATGGGTTGTCCCTTGGGCTTCCCTTTTCTTGCTGCAAAAAGTAAAAAATGAGGGAAACCCAGGGATTCCCATAGGAAACCACCGGTAACGGATGGTTTGAATCGGGGTCATTCCATTTCTCATTCCTCCCTGCATCTCTCGCACCGCTCACAAATTCATGGGTCCAACCAATTCACATTCAGACCGGGGGTCTGCAAATGGGACGCATAAAAACGAACACTTTAGCTTCAAAGTCTATAGCCCCTAGGGCGAGTGACTGTTTGTTGAACAACTCAGCTGATCCTCAACCCAAGCTTCCAATGACAAAGCCAACGTGTCCCTAGTTGTTTGGAACGAACACTCACTTATATATGGGTGTGTCTTTTCAATGACCCCTCCCCCCCAAAAAAATGGTGGCTTTCCTTTTGAATTCCCTGTAAACACACCCAAAACAGGGCACACACCCATGTATTTTGTCAAGACCCCAAATTTAATCTCCCAATTAAAAAAAAAAAAAACAAGACAGGATTAGCCAATACAATGATAAGAATGTCAAGGGAAAGCAATGGGTGGTGATATCTTGTCACCCTCCCACCAATTAACATGGAACCTGACGTTCGGGGCCCGGTCCCTTAAACAGGAACATGGTCCAAACCCCCCGAATGTCGAAGGGTTCAATGTGAACTGGGAGCCTCGCCGATTTTCCAACCAAACTCAGCAAGGACGCCTCAGCTTCTTGGCCGCGGATCACCTCAATCGTCCTCTTTGGGACTTGGCCGCTTTGCTGCTTTGCCGACTCAGGCGCAAACAAAGCAATCCATCCACCAGGCGGGTTGCTGGTGTAAGCTGCGGGATCTTCTGTTTCCCTGGAACGAACAACCAAAACGATCTCGGTTGAAGGTGCAGGTGGAAACTGGACAAAAGATATCATGCACGAGTTGGATCCACCAAGACCATCAGCAAGAGGTGGAGCGACGGGCCGTTCTTCGGCGCACAAGCGCCGCACCAGCGAACACCAAGACGAGCATGCTGGGCGCGAATTGTCCGGGCCCGCCTGGTGTCACAAAGCGATTCGCTCTGTCTGGGTCAAACAAGAAAGAAAGTAGCGCCCAAACAATTCGGGGCTACTTGATACCAAACATTGGCAACCAAGGGCTGTAGAAACAAATTTCTAGCCTTTGTTCAGCCAAAGGAACTCTCAGCTGAACTGCCCAACTGAGATGATTGTGTGTGTGTGATGGCTTCAAATTACTACGATGAGTTGAAAGACACGCATTGCCGGCCCATCATTTGTTCGCACCCTCGAACTTGCACATATTGGTGCACAGACCTGCAGAAGCCACATGTTTTTCACGTGCTGTACACTGGAAGCACCACCCGCAAATCTAAAGCAGGGAAGGCCAATACTCTCGGTGAAACAACCATCTCAGTGGTGTGCCTCACGTTTAGTCATAAACAACATGTAACATGTTCGCTTCTGCAGATTCATCTGGTTATGGGTCAAAACCCCGTACCCCCAGTGAACATCCAATCCCCAGTAAAATAGGTTCAAAAATGGGCGGTGAATTCACCTACCAACCAAAATGGGATCCCATTGGTTTTGACCCACAGCCATCTTCTCACTTCATCTCGCCAGCGACAAGCACCGAGTGCAAGCTGCTCTACACCAAGTCGGCGTCCGTCACAAAGCCGCAGTCCTTGTGGCTCTGGATACCTCGTTCAATTGGCATGGGTTTGAAGTCAAAATAGGGAAGTGCACCCCAAACCAACCGTATGGCTTTGGAAAATAACCCTTCTGTGATACCACCAAAGGCGAATGACTGCTTTATCACGTTTAAAGGGGGTTCCTGGGTCTTACCGAAAGTGGCTAAACCCAGTTCCCACAACCATGGGGTGAGGCAACATCCTACAACTCACAAAAAATCCGAGCCAAACAATCCCCAAGCAAAGGACCTTTAATGTCCCAAATCGGCATTGTTTGTACCTTGGTAATCGATCGGAATCGGTCACTCGGAGCTCGACTCACTCAAAGCGTTCTCAGCCAAAGACTGGGAATCCCATCGAGCCCTTTGGGAACACCCATGGCAGGGCATAGGAAACACCCCGTGTCTTCTCCCAAACCCAGAGGCTCTTCGGCTTATGAACACAGCTTACCTCCTAACTCCTTCTCACCCATCTCTCACCTCTATCCATCCCGCCTCTCAGTCTTCTCTGTGAGGCATGAAGGGATGGATGGTGAGAGAGTGAGAGATTGAGAGCTTATTGACTGGCGGGTCGACTCTATATCTCCTTCTCCCGCCTGACCAGAGATAACTCAACTAGAGGTAAAAAGACAAGGAATAAGATATGAAAATAATAAAAATCCAGAATAAGCTCTTACCTTGGGATTGAGGATTTGGTGGCTGACGGAGGAAGGAGGAAGAGACCAAATACAAGAAAGAGATTATGAAAGTAAATAGCTGGTGATGGGAAGATAAGGGACCCATTCACCATTTACTTTCATTCTCTCACTCTTCCTCACTCACTGCATTCGTTCATAATCAAGTTCCTGAGATGAAAGGACAAGAACCCAAATGCAGCATAATCCCAGATTTAGAGAGGTGTGAGAGGATGAGATGGGAGAAGGGAGATGAGAGAAAGAAACCAGACATCACTCAATTCCCTTCGTTCATTGGAGAAGACAGGAAGGATATAGAGATGAATGGGAGAGATAGGGAGATGTCTGGCTTCTTTCTCTCATCTCCCTTCTCCCATCTCTCTATCCCTTCCATCACTCACTTTAGGATTATTTGGTGAGTGATGAAGGGATGAATGTGACCGCTCCCTCTTTCTCCTGGTCCCTCGTCTCAGAGATTCACCCGGCCAAGGAAAGGGAATTGGGTGGCTTTCTGGAGACCCTTCCTTCCGTCAGGTTCTCCAGCTACCGTGCAGCTCCTTGGGCTTTGGAAAGGTGGGACGGTTGGAGGTGAAGGTCTGATTGGCCGGTCCTCTTATTTTCGTCTATCATATCTTCCTCCTCTTTATCTTTGTCATTCCTTCGTGGATTTCGTGAGGACAGCAACTAACCAGAAACCCAAGATAAAGAGATAACCAATATACAAAATAATATAGAAAATAAATAAGAAAGTGACATGAGAACTAGAATGAAGAGATAACATAGGAAGGGATATCATGTCATCTGGTTTCTTCATTATAATTATAATTCTTTCATTTACTATCATATCATTTTCATTTGTTGAGATTAGTTAAAAGAAAGGAGATGATAGAAGGATGAAGTGAATGCCATGTCAACTCTAGTCCTCAGGTTCAGATGGGCGAGCGGGATCCAGAGACACAAGGACAGAGAAGAGTAGGGATGGAATGGTATACTGTAAATCCTTGAAAATATGATAATCAAGATACATTAGTACGTGGGAAAAGGATTAGGGCTCCAGACCAGGAAGGAATCATCTCTTTCTTGTCCTCAGGATCACCCGTCCAGACGTAGGAACGGATTATGATGGGGAATTTGTACGTGGGAAAAGGATTAACTGGTGGTCGGGAGATCTCATATCCACATCCTAAAGAAATTTGTAGATGAAGGATGTGGAAGGGATATGAAATTATGAAAGTAAATAGCTGGTGATGGGAAGAGAAGGGACCCCTATGGAAGACCCAAACACCTCTATTAGAGACCTCGGAGGTGTTTGGGGGTCTCAAAACCTGGCTGTTTGAGGGTTCTAAATTAATCGAATTGCAGTGTCTTGGAAACCACCTGTCTTTTCCTTCTACCTAAAGACTCAAAACCCTTAAATTTGTCGCTCTCTCTTGGAAACATGGCAAGTTGTTAGGAACATGTCACGAAAATATCGCGTCTGCCAAGAAAAAAACATGCCCTGGGCTATGAACCCACACACATCTACGCCTCGCGACTGGTTTTCCGTGCGAGGGGCGGCAGCCGCAGAGCAGGCAGTCCACCGGCGCGCTGCGCGCGGCTCAGCTGTTCAGCTTCACTGGGCGCCAGAGGTAGACGTCGCCTAGAGGCGTTTGTAGCCGAGTCGCCCGGAAGGGGGCAGCACTTCTTAGCTGAGTGGAAAGGATCCATTTGTTTACAACCTACTGGTTTGCCACTGCAACCGAACCCAAAAAAGATCAAAGGCGCCTACAGTCCGAAACGGAACTCAGGAAGTGAGAAAAACCATTCTTGTGCAGGTAAGCCTGACGGGAACGCGACTGGCGGTCAGCAGTCCAAAGGAAATTGGCAGTCCGCCTTGGCCAAATTACACAATTTGAAAAGTTTAAAATTTGAGCATTGCTTAAAGCATGTTAAATCAAATCGGCAGAATGGGCTTGCTAAACTTACCTAGACTTAGTCACTTTGAACTTTGAACTATATAAGCAAAATGAGATTGCTGATGTAAGACATTGTCAATCCAATTAGCAAAAACGACTAGCTTGCCATTTGTTTCATGGAAATTTCCCAGAGCTCCAAATAGTACATGATCTCCTCTTGCCGGGGTTCCGCCCCCGAAAATGATGAACCCCTGTCACATGGGATTCTTCCAACCAGGTGTCAATCCTGGATTCCCAACCCCAACCCCGAGCCCCAGCAAATTAACAAAAAGGCGAGGTTCAGTGCTTGCACCTGGTGCAGCCGCCCCGCTTCACGCCCATAAAGTCAGCCATGTAGCCTGAGAGGTGCCCAAAGGGCCCGTCGTCGAAGAAAACAAGAACGCTTTCTGGATCGAAACGGACCTATGCGACGGGACCCATTCAGAAACCCGTGGGATATGCAATTCTAAATGGACTGTTGCCTGGGCAGTCAAGTTGACGATGGTGATTTCTCAGTTTCTGCGTAAACAACACAAAATCCAACCCTCGAAACAAAAATACATGCGTGTGGCAACATGCCTTTGATTTCTCTTTTAAGCACACAACAACAGACACCCGCATACCAAAAGGTCAGATCAATAGGTCGATTCGCTGGACGGGCAATTAAGTAGATAGGAAACCCACAGATTCGCTTTGAACATTTGCATCACGTTCGGCTCGGCACTTTGGATTTGATTCCAACGAGGGCATTGAAGGGGTCTCCAAACTCAGCCCAGCTTAGGGAAGGGAGGAGCCAGTTTTCGTTGTGGGGATGCCTCATTTCGGGCTTGCAATTATTGAACAATTGCAGAAAGCTTGGATTCGCACATCGTGACTGGCTCCCCCCTGCAGGGACGGGAGGTTCACTGGCACCAATTATGATTTCTTCCTGTGGGTTCGCCACTAAACATGGTCAACTGGTCAACCCCAAAAGGGCCCCCGTTCTTTTTGCCTTTCGCTTCACTGGTCGCAAGTGGGTTTCGAACATCCGCAGCCATTCAGTCCACTCCAATTCGGGGAACCTCGGCTCAGTCGGGGGGCCGAATCTGCAATCCTGAACTTAGTAGATAACCAAGGGAACCAGCCTTCAAAAACCAAACGGGTGTGTCTTCTTTGGAGTGTACCCAAGATTTCGCTTTTCGAGGGAAGCCACCAGCACGGAACACCCATGGGAGGGCCAACCTTAAGCCAGACCCAAGCCGGAAGAGGCGTCCCCTGGCCACCTTGCCCAACGGTCCGAATCGTCCAATCGTCCAACCAAGTCTCAGGTGGATTTTTCCGTGCCGCCCCATCCCATCCACACCTTTCCGGCAGTTTTCCCCGAAAACAACGGGGAGCCAAGCTGGGGCTATCCAAACTTACCTTGGGGGAGCTAGTATGCACATAGTAGCCTGGAAGGGGGAAGTACGTCTCATTTTCTGTGGGGATTGGAAAAACAACTCAAACTTGTTGTTTCCCCCTCAAATGATCTTCCCAGAAGCGTCCAGGAACCGAGAGAGTGATACTAGAAAGTAACGACAACCCCATTTCAAGCTGAAAAGGCCAAAGCCCAAGTGGGCCAAGCGCACCCGATGCGCGGTCCGAGGAGCCATTCCTGAGATGAGCAAAAGGATTACAGCGGCTGCAAACAAAAAGGGAACAGGTTCGACGTAAAGGGAACACATCCGCCAAATACTAGCTAGTCCGTTAAGAACTTCCTCCGTTCTTCTCAGGAAACAGCTCTAAAAGTCCAAAAGCATGGTGTGGGGCAACCTTCTGAGTCTTTTGAACACCAACCCCAAACAGGATTTCGGGGTTACCAAAAGGAGCTCCCAGTTGGGTGTTCCTCGTGAGTAATTACTCCCTCTCACGTGGCCTTCAAGCGGCTTCCCTTCTAAAACTTTAAGTCATCCAAGTCGGGACAGACTCAAAGGAAGAGGTGGACCCTCCAGAAAAAAAGTGAACAAATTAAAGACGCAAAAGGTTGAGGCAACTCACACGCTTGGCTAAAGGAACTCGCTTGGTACACCAACAACCTTAATAAGTTTCCTACCGAGCGCAGGAACAAGGAGGTGTCAAAAGGAAGCCCACTTCAAATCAAGCGCTTGGTGTTCAAGCTACTTGCTACGTCTTGACAAGTGTGTTCCAAACAGGGCAACCGCAACACCATGTTTGGAGCCCTCTGCTGCCCAACCGGAGTCACCTTTAAGTCAACAGGACCTTCCGCGCAAGCAAAACAGCACCAGCCTCTGGGCTCAAGCACAAGATGCAACATGGAACATGGTTAAAGGGACACCAGAAGGAACCGAATCACCAATCTAAAGGAAAAGGTGCCCTTGACTGAATATCTTCTTTTTTCTTTGTCTTCTCTTCAGTTTATTAAATAAACATATTGTCAACCTGAATCAGGAAGCAGGTGTTGTAGATAAACAGGGGTGTGCGTGAGAACCATCCCCAGGTTGTGATTGAGAAACAGTGCCATTTTCCGAAAACGATGCAAAGGTTGAGCGTCAAATTAAAAGCCATCAAGACGATTCCAAGACAGGGCAACCACTACACTTCGCATGACATGGGTGTTTCCCAAAATCGGTATGGATATGGATAACAGCAGGCTACGTGGAGGAGCTGCAACTGAACTTTTGCGACAAGAAAGGCATCCGTTGTGTTGGTTGCCCCAAAATCCATGATTCCTCCAGAACCCTCCAGAACCCGAAAACCATCAAGCTGCTCCAAACCGCCCCAGAGTTTGGGCCTATCGACTCCCAAGCTTTCAGCTACCCGAAGAGAAAAACAAAAGAAGGAGACAAAATTGAACCCTCCCCCTCCCCCCCCAACTTCCCCCCGCAAAAACACACACACACACGAAAGAAGAGGAGAAAACCACCGCAGCACCCACCAACGGCTCGACGACCGACTCCCCGAATCCAAGCGGCTTCTTGCCCCGCAGGTGGAGGCTCCGAAGAAGCGGGTCCTGCAGCACCTGCGACCTCTGCGCCGCTTGAGCAGCCTCCGCCTGGACACCGCTGGACAGAGGAACCCGGAAGGGCCATTTGGGCGGCTCGAAGTGTTTGAGGGGACCCCCTTGGTTTGGCGTCCATTTTGGGAGGCTCCAGAATCTTCAAACACTGCCTGGGGTTAGTCAGGGTACTCAAAGGTTTCACCACAACCCAAAAGGGGCGTACCCCTTCGGGGCCATACCCCTTAAGGGACATCCCAAATCAAACGAAACACCGCAAACACTGGAGTATATGATGAGTATATGGCCTTAAATCGCTTAAACAAGGGTTGACTTGCATATACGTAGTCTGATTTGGGCCTGGTCTGGGGAAATCTTGGATTTTCTGCAGGTTGTGCCTGGTTGCCATAAAACTGTAGGCAGGGGTTTTCCTGGAGTAAAGGCAGTTTTCTTCATAGCGACCGGCGACCGGAAGCACCGGAGAAGCAGGGAAGAACACCCTCCCAGGTCACACTTAGCGCATGCACACCCGGGAGTTGGCTACCCTTTGATTAAAAATTTTCATCCCTGGCTTTTAAGTCTATCGTAGTCGAGGCCATCTGGCCATCTGACACCAGAAAGTCTTAGGGTCATGGGGTTCTTGGATCCTATTTTATGTCGGAAACCCTTCCCAACAAAAAGGCGAGCAACACAAACCGCTTGGGGTGTCGTCTTTCCTAGAAGAACAAGGGCTCACCAATCCACACCGACGAATTACCTGCAACAAGGGGACAAAGGAGGCCATGGGTCAAAACCCCGGTACCCCAGTAAACATCCCAATCCCAACTAAAACAGGTTCAAAAATGGGTGGTGCACCTACCCCAAAATGGTACCATCGTTGTTGACCCACGGACAACACCAGGGGTTCTACATGGTGACACGCCCTTTTAATGGTTTAATACGGAAAACCCATTAGTTGGCAAAAAGTTAAAGTCCTAACATCCAAGCAAAATGCAACAAAGGACACACCAGGGGCTCCACTTCGATCCACGCCAAATGCACTCCTCGCACTCGGGACTCGGGACCCGCCTGGGCCTTCTGCTGCCGCTCCGCCTGCTGCTGCCGAAGCGCCTCCTGTTGCACCTGCTGTGCCTGCTGCTGCGCCTGCGCCTGACAGACGTGCCGGCGGATCCCTTCTCAAAAAAGTCCCATGCGTTCGGACCCCTTTAGTGGTTGAACAAACTAGAGGACAATTGGCCCGAAAGCATTTTCCCCCAAGCGCTCTTCCAGCCGCGGAGACACCTTTTGCATCGATGCGGCGAGCGTGTCTGCACGTCACATGAGAGTTCCATCTCATCGTCCTACGAGGGGAAACATGCCAGTGTCTGCGCAAGCTGCATTGTTCCAGGCTGCTGCGCGCAAGTTGCTCTCTGCAAGCTGCTGCACGCAAGTGTCTCGACATCTGTCTTCAAGCTGTTCTGTGCACGTTGTGCAAGTTTCTCTCCGCAAGACGCTCGGCGCTTGTATCTGTGCGCAAGATGCTCAGCCTGAGCTGAGCTGTGGAGGTGCTCCGCGCACTATACGTCTGCGCTTCAGGGTTGCGATTTTCCGGTGGGAGCCGCCAGGAGTACACTCCACATACTAAGATCATACTACGGCTTCTTTGCCTGAGCCGAAGCTCCCGCGGACCAGGGGGGAATCGAACGACCGCGCGATTGCGGAAGCAGAGACGCAAACCACGAGACAACTTCCAACGGCCATTTCGCGAGTAATAAAATCGCACGGCGCCACAGCGAGAGCGCTTCGACTCGGTCTCCGCAGCGGGCTCGCCGAGACCAATCGCACGGCGCCACAGCGAGAGCGCGTCGACACGCAGAGGGCTGCCGCGGACCAGGGGGGAATCGAACCCGCGACCGCGCGATTGCGAAAGCAGGCGCGCAAACCACGAGACAACTTCCAAAGGCCATTTTTTGCGAGTAATAAAATGGCACAGCGCCAGCGACGACCGCGCCGATCCCCGCAGAGGGTCGCGCGGGCAGATCAGAAATCGCAAAACACCTCGAGTTTTTGCACCTCGACCACGCCGATCCCCGCAGAGGGTTCATCCGCGCACCGCACGAACGCCAAAAACCTCGAGTTTTTGTTCCTTGACCACGCCGATCCCCGCAGAGGGTCGCGCGGGCAGATCAGAAATCGCAAAAAACCTCGAGTTTTTGCACCTCGACCACGCCGATCCCCGCAGAGGGTCGCAAACCCGATCGACGATCAAAGTCCTGCTCCGGCGCCCTAGAAAGCTAAACTTAACTTACATAGCTGCTAACGCCGAAGCGCTATGCACTTGGCTCTATGCACTTGGCTCTATGCACTTGACTCTATGCACTTGGCTGTATGCACTCGGCTCTATGCACTCGGCTCTGTGCACTCGGCTCTATGCACTTGGCTCTATGCACTTGGCTCTATGCACTTGGCTCTATGCGCTTGGCTCTGTGCACTTGGCTCTATGCACTTGGCTCTATGCACGGGTCTATGCACTTGGCTCCATGCACTTGGCTCTATGCACTCGGCTGTATGCACTCGGCTCTATGCACTCGGCTCTGTGCACTCGGCTCTATGCACTTGGCTCTATGCACTTGGCTCTATGCACTTGGCTCTATGCGCTTGGCTCTGTGCACTTGGCTCTATGCACTTGGCTCTATGCACGGGTCTATGCACTTGGCTCCATGCACTTGGCTCTATGCACTCGGCTGTATGCACTCGGCTCTATGCACTCGGCTCTGTGCACTCGGCTCTATGCACTTGGCTCTATGCACTTGGCTCTATGCACTTGGCTCTATGCGCTTGGCTCTATTTGCACTTGGCTCTACGCACTTGGCTCCATGCACTTGGCTCTATGCACTTGGCTCTATGCACTTGGCTCTATGCGCGGCTCTCTGCACTTGGCTCCATGCACTTGGCTCTATGTATTTGACTCTGCGCAAGTGCCTCTATGCAAGTTGGTCCGAGAGCTCCGCGCGGAAGAACCCTTCGCGATGCTTTCGGGAAAAAACAAGTGGTTTTGTTCCCTTTATAGTGATTGAAAATCATATTGTTAAAGTGGTTTTCCAATCAACGGTCATCCCATAGAGCACGAGGCATGCCGCAAGGACAACAAAAAAAAGCGGCATGTGTCGAAATGGGAGGACCCTGCACAAAATGGCGGTGTTACTTCCGGCGTCGCTTTCAAGCAACCTGCGTAACCTGAACAAGGGCACACTCATTGTTGGACACCCATTTCCCAACATGTACTCTGAACTTGGCTCTCAGATTCTGGGAACGAGTTGGAACCCCTGAATTAAACCATACTTGTGGTTTCCTAGACCATCTCGAAAAGGTTGCCAAAACCGGATTGATTAGTCGAGAACCAAAAATCTCTTGGGGCATGGGCAAGGGTTCAGAAGCTTCCCAGACTGTGCCATGGTTGGTCCCCCTCTCCGGAAAAACAAGGGCAAAAGAGGCAACCGCTTGGAGATCTGTCCCAACATGCCACCGCTAAGATGTGTCCGCATTAGCATAGGACAGTCGCCAAAAATTGTATGACTCCGGGACACGCGCGTGGGCCAAATCGGGGAAAGAAGGCGCGCAGAGATGTGCAGGAAACTGCCAATCGGCCCTGCTGTTCCGCTAATTTGACATTGAGAGTGCTGCCATCTACGCCATCAACGGTTTTCAGAGGGGCAACCCCATCCTTGGATCTTACTCGACATCTGGCGAACTTCAACAAAGACGGAGGTATGACAAGGCTCGTTTTGGAAGAAAGGCTAGGAGGGAAGCATATTTTTCACACGCAGTTGTCACCAAATAGTATTGGGAATTCTCAAAATAGGGGAACCCTTGTTGGATTGTCTTTTCTTAAAGGAAACCACCTACCTGGACGGGTCCCCAATTTTGAGAAAAAACATGGTAACCCAAGCACGGGCGTTCAAACCAAAGGAAACTCTTTACTCACCCTTTGAGTGTGTAAGGGCACAAGCAAAGGAGACAATGGCGAACTTTTCGGGAAGCTGCCACGCGCGACTGCAACGGATAAGCCAAGCAAGGGACATGTGGCCATGGGTCAAAACCCCGGTTAGCCGCCAGTGAACATCCCCATCCCCACTAAAATAGGTTCTAAAATGGGTGGTGCACCTATCCCAAATGGTACCAAAACGGTTTTCACAACCACAGCCATGTCAGAAAGTTTTGCTCTCTGATGGTGTGGCAGAATATGGGTAGGGTATCACTTTGGGGCTGGTTTCTAACAAAACCCCACTGTGTGGGTCGCCTTGTTTTGGACAAGCCCCGTTGCAGCGAGAGACAAAACAAATACCGAAATTCAAACCTATGGGGCGCTATGAAGCGATATCCCAATCCCCACATTCATTCAGCGGAGATTGAGTATAGTCTAGTCGGCCAACGAAGTCACAAAAGAAGTGTAACACCGTAAGAAATTACCCTCCACCCACTGACGTGAAACTTGACAGGGGTCCCTGGAGATTGTCGCCGGTGTCCTAATAGTGGGAAAGAGGCAGGGCGAGTTGCTGGGTCCACTTTTCAAAGGGTAGTCACGGACCTTCATCGTGGTTGAGCTGCCCAGAAACCATGGCAGTGCCACTCTAGCGCTTTCAAAATGACGCTTCCAAACAGCTGCCGTAATGCAGCGCACAAAGCAAGTAGCTTGATTCAATTCCGAACCCATGAGCTCACGACAAGACCTTGTTGAGGCAAAATCAGAACTTGGTATCAAAAGGGCTCCACCCAGAACCATGACCATCATCTACAACGGCCGCATCCATTTATCTGAGTGGAACTGCTCCCTGCTGGACACGGTTTTGAAGGCGTGTCTGACAGCTGCGATGGGGTGAAACCCGCGTTTCCAGAAACCTGAGAATTGGATCCCCAAGAAACAGACCTTCATGGCCAGAATGCTGAGCCAAGTGATGCTTCATGCATTTCATTCACTTGTATCGAAAGCTTCGTACAAGCGAGTGAAGAGTCATACAAAGTGAAACAACTGCTGCATTGGCTGCTTTGCCCCCAGCGTCGAAAGCCGAAGCAAGGATCCAATAGAAACTGTCAAGCAAGCGGCTCAAGAAGTACGCAGTCAAGTCGCAAAGCTCAATGGCATGAGGCTGTGAAGGCAGTGCAAGTGCAAAGTTGGCTGCCTTGCACAATGCGACGCATCCTGCATTGGCCGCTATGCCCACCTTGTCAAACGACACACTAAGTATCGGATGCAGGCGATCCAGTAAAGCCTTGCCCAGCCTTCTCGAACATTCCACAGTCATGACCCAGAAGTCAAGGGCTTGATCGCGCGAAGGCAAACCTGCAATTGCAAAGTTGGCAGCCTTGCACAATGCTACACATCCTGCGTTGGCCGCAATGCCCACCTTGTCAAACGACACACTAAGTGTCAGATACAGGCGATCCAGTAATGCCTTGCCCAGCATGCTCAAACATTCCACAGTCATGACCCAGAAGTCAAGGGCTTGATCGTGCGAAGGCAAACCTGCAATTGCAAAGTTGGCTGCCTTGCACAATGCGACACATCCTGCATTGGCCGCTAGGCCCACCTCGTCAAACGACACACTAAGTATCAGATACAGGCGATCCGGTAAAAAAGGCAAACCTGCAATTGCAAAGTTGGCAGCCTTGCGCAATGCGACACATCCTGCATTGGCCGCTAGGCCCACCTCGTCAAACGACACACTAAGTATCAGATACAGGCGATCCGGCCAGAAGTCAAGGGCTTGATCGTGCGAAAACAAACCTGCAATTGCAAAGTTGGCAGCCTTGCACAATGCGACACATCCTGCATTGCCTGCTATGCCAAGTTCGTCGAATATTACAGCAAGGACATAGCCACCTTCGAACCAGGCAAGGCGCACTCTGTTCATAGTGCCTGCAACAATGTCCAAGATCTCAGCCGCTTCGTCGCGCGAAGGCAAGTTGGCCATTGCCAAGCTAGCGGTTTTGCAAAGCGTCAGGCAACCTGCGTTGGAAGCTGTGCCGAGCTTGTCAAAGACCGAGGCAAGTATCACATAGAGATATTCGAGCAAGTCAAAAGAAGTTCCGTTTAAGAAGTCAAGCGTGATGTGTGCAAACTCAGCGGCTTGGTGATATGGCTGCAACAGCCAGAGGACACCGCAAGTGAAAAGTATGCGCCAGAGCCAAGCGAAGTGGATTTGTCTGCACCTCACAGGAGGCGTCGGGGGAGGTGTCTTCGGCCTTTTTGTGCTGTTTTGCACTGTGTGACTGCGCTGAGGAGAAAAGATCGGTGCTGCGCTCGGTTCTTCTCTTTCCAGCACCAAATGACTTTTCTGATTCCAGATCAGGCGTTCGCTGTCCCGCACTGCTAGCCTGCGCTGATCGTTGATCCGCAAAAAAGTCTCTTAGATTGTTTGCTACCCCGCAAGAAGTGAACCTTCTGGTTAAAATGAAGGAACACCAATCAGGCAAATGTTGGCCAAGTCTGGGGCTGAGGCATGATTAAAAAACAAGTTCAGGATCACCAAAAAATTAAACAGGTAGTAGTAGGAGTAGTAGTAGTAGTAGTAGAAGAAGTAGCAGAGTAGTAGCATAGTTGTAGTAGCAAGAAGTCGTAGCAGTAGAAGTAGTAGTGGTAGCAGGAGTAGTAGTAGTAGTAGTAGTGGTAGTAGTGGTCGTGGAAGTAGCAACACTAGTACTAGTACTCAACCAGCGCTACGCGTACTACTAGCGCTACTTTAACTGGTAGTAGTAGTATTGTAGTAGCAGCAGCAGCAGCAGCAGCAGTAGTTGTAGGACTAGTGCTCGTGGTACGAGTTATAGAAGTAGTAGTGGTAAGTAGTAGTAGAAGTAGTAGTAGTAGTAGTAGCAGCAGTAGTAGTGGTTGTAGTGGTAGTGGTAGTGCCAGTATGATTGCGCTAGTACTAGTAGTAGTAGTAGTAGTAGTAGTAGTAGTAGTAGTAGTAGTAGTAATAGTCGTACTAGTAGTAGTAGTGGAAATGGCACTGCTGGCTTTCCTCACACTAACTTACCCCCACCGCAGTCTGCCTTGTTAACTTACTATCTGGCGCAACTAGTTATAACTTGCTAACTTGCTAAGTTCCTGACTTGACTTGGTAACTTACTAACTTGCTAACTTGCTAACTGTCTAACTGTGTAACTTGCTACTTGCCAACTTGCTCACTTGCTAACTTACTAACCGCCGTACGCTGCCTTACTAGTCGCCCTTTGCTCCAGGGTGCACCGGGTCTAGCTTGCGAACTGATCCCGAATATTTTTTGCATTGATCCTACATTAGCTTCTTTTTGATGCGTGTGCCCAAGTCTGGCATTTGCCCACGGCTTGATGGAGTTTCCAGGGAAAGCAAGCATTGTTTGGCCTCGAAATATTGAACGCGATGAGGAGAGTTGCCTAACAACAGCTTACAGTTTTCTAGCTTAATTGGCAAAGAAACCTCCTGGGAAAAGGAGCCAAATTTGGGGGCTGACGTTGATTGCAACATCATGGATATGGATATGGAGGGTCACAGTAGGCCCCGCAAGGATGGCAACGCTTCAACTGAAAGCTCTACTGGCGTGTTGCGCGATACCTCAAGGGAGGCCTTGCAGGTCGGTGCAACATACCAACATGCCTTGGCTACGAGATAGCTTGCCATCTTGCATCCTCCCCCAGAAGCCGCCGAAACCCGTGGTTTTACTCGATTCGTTGCCCAGCATTAAGAGCCCGCGTGTCAAGCCGGTCGCTAGCATTGTCAGCTGCTTGAACGCCCCACAGTTGGCGACAAAGCTCGCCCTCAACTTGGCGACCGACGTGCGCCAGGAAAACTCCAGGGCCACTTTGTACCCTGAACAAGTCCCCAATCGATGGCGACGTCGCCGGTCTCTGGCGATTTTCTTCACCGCTTGATCCTATGACAACACAGCACACCGCTCCAGCTCCTCAGTTGCCTCTTGGACTGCAAAAAGACCACATGGCCATGGTATCTGGACTCAAGAAGATGAGTCAACGCCAGGTCGCTATTGCATCCCAAGTCAGCATACGTGACACCAAGGCCAGGCAGCTGCTTGGATGCGTCTCGGGCAAATGCTAGTGAACCAAGATGCAAGACGGAAGGCCGAACCACGTTCCACTTGAATCTGTTTTCGCACGGCCCTCCGAACATCAGCATCGCTAATTGAAAATGACTCCGGCGCTAGTTATGACGGGGATAATGTCCTGTGGCAAGATCCAAAAGCTCATTTTAAAGTAATCGCAGCCTCCACCCACACCAGGCCACGGCCAGCGTCCCTTAAACTTCCGTAAAGCGCCGTGCTCCTAAAATTGGCTTTACCCACGAACTTTGTAGTTTGTTATAAGCCGAGCGCGGAAGTTCTGGGGAGCCTCGATTGCCACCGAAAAGCCCACTCATTTAGCAGTGTGGAAAAACTCCTCAAAGACTGACCGGCCAACGGCCGTAACAACATTAAGCCAGTGGCCGAAAGACAGTGTGGAAATCGACACAGGAGCTTGTAAACAGAAACATTTTCCCGAGCAAGTGGCGCATCAAAGCATGCCATGGTAACCATCTTTGATGTTCTGAGCAATGGCCACGTAGGAGTCCACCTTGCCAAGGTACTTCCTGAAGACCTTGGGGTCTCTGCGCTTGTCGCCGTCGAAGGTGGGGGCTGGTGGTAAATTGCCACGTGGTTTCCTCTCGGACTGCTTGGAGACCGCAAGAGTCCTTGTTTTTTGTTCGGCGCCAGCTGCTAGGATGAAGAGGGTGTAGCGCCTTTGGTCCTGGGACCGTCTTGCCAGGGCGATGAGGCTGGAGCGGCAGCTCTTCATACAAAGGGTCCTCCGGGTCCTCCACCACAGCTTCCTTTCCTCTTGCTCCATCAGGCGGCCCTCCGGCTTGTGGCCATCGTAGCCTTCCGGCTGCTCCTCTTCATCATCACCATCCGGATCTATGGCGCAACGCTACCAATGCAATTCGGCTGTTTCACAAGCCACGAAAAAAAACTGGCTCCTGAGGGGCTAAAGCGGCTGCTCACCTTTTCCGTATCGCTCAAGGGCCCTGTGCAGAGGGCGAAGTGGTGCATGAATGCATACAGATTTCGCACCTGAGTCATGAGTTGGGGCACCCTTATTAAGTCCGGAAGCAGCCAGCCTGTGGTGGTCCTTAGGGCCCTGTCTGCAGCGTAAGCAAACACACCCGCAATCATGGTCCACTACCCGCGCAAAATGCGCGTTGGCACTGCCAAAACGACGTGGGCAACAATTTCTTTCGTTTCCAAATCGCCACCTGAGCGGAGGGCAAAAAAGCAAAAAAAAAGATTTAGTTTGCCAAACTAAATCGTTTTTCCCGGTGGTGGGTCTAACGCTTCTGGAGATACCTCGCTGCGGCCCTGGTCAGGATTTGGTCAATGGCAGGCTTCGTGCTTCCGCGCGGGCTTGTGCGCGCAATATTTGCAACATGCTTACGCGCGTGCTTACGCAAGCTTACGCACAAAAACGAAAAACCTTACGCGCACCGTCCGATATTGGCGCCCCTTACTAAACTGGTCTTGGGAGAGATGATGTGCACTGACTCAGTTTTTTCAGGCCACGATCAGCCAAATTGTCCAGTCAGTGTAAAAAACTTTGAGGAGGTCCATGCTACATCCATATCATGCAGTCACCTCAATTTCGACGGCCAATCTAGTGGTGCTTGACCCAATGTCCATCCACGGCTTTTGTGGGGGGCGGTCCAAGTTTACAAAAACATATTCAAGAACGACAGGCCTTCAGCGGCCATGTGGGGAAAAAGGGGCTACCCAATGTTCGTTGTTTGAATCTTAAAGGGAACACCCCTCCGGAAAAAAAAAACAAACAAAAAAAACACAAAAAAACAAAAACAGGAGCAAAAGAAGAGTGCTCTTCGAGAAGAGGTGCCACTCCCTTCCCGAGTCCGTGGAGATGCTCACGGATTGCACCACCTCCTCCTTGAAGCACATCTCGTGTATATTAGCTGCAATGCTGTAGACTGCATCATAGTCTGATCTCCAGGTGAGGTCATTCACCGGGGTGATTTTCACCTGGCTTCCCCAAGAAATGTTCGAAGATTTTGTGGCTTTTCGGTTTCGTTTTTGCGGGTTTCGAAATTGGGCGGATAAGCCCGGGACCCATGTCCTCCAAAAATAACAGTAGTGTTCTTGGCTGTGAGTACACGGGTTCCTTGTTTCAACTTGCAGGGTGATCAAACCTAGGATGACAGTCTCAAAAACACATGACAAAGAACGAACAACAAGCGGAGATCTGCTTGTACTTCTGGCCCTTGCGAACAATTTATCATCCGGTGAGGCGTATTTGCTGGGTGGGCGGGCGCCTCTTGCGCCTCCCCTCAGAATCTTTCACTTTCATTCCAGTAAGCGCCAGAGACAACTTCTCGTCGACGCCACAAAAACCCAGTTTGGGGGAGAAAAAGTTCTCTCTTTTTCTTTCAGCCAAGAGGGGCTAGTCGCGTCGCAATTCAATGTTCAGGGCTCTCCCTTCTTTTCAAGGTTCACCCGGAAATTAAGAACCCTCAAGCACTCTTCTTGAAGATTGTAAAGCCCGTCCACGGGACCTTCTCGAACTTCCTCCATAGGCCTTGCGCTCTGTGTCATAGATCTTCTTGCGCTCCTTCCAGTGCGGAAGGAGCATCCAGCCACTCATTGGTTGGTTCATATCACAACCACCTCCGGTGCAGGCTCCAAGCCCGTCCACCACTTCCACTTCCAAAGGTCCTCCACGTCCAGTCTGTTTCCAGCCATTCCATTGACGAAGTCTCTGATGAAGCACTGGCCTTTTCCCCCGCCGAAAGACTGCCAAACTCGTGCCGGCAATCGCTTGCACCTTCTTGATCTTGTTTGCAGCGTGCCCGTGGTTCCTGACCAGAACCCTCACCTCACCATTGACCCCAGTTTCCCCGCGCTCTCTGGCAACTGCACCATCCTGACCATCCGCCCCGGCACCACCACTCTTCACTGCGAAGAGGTTCACCCCGTCGCTCTTTCCGGCAACACAGCCGCCTCTGAAATCTAAGCTCTTACCTCTTTTCGCAAGCAGCCACGCCAACACCACCATGGCCGTGACCACAATGAGCCATCAGTATCCACTTCTCCTTCGCCTCAGCTAACTCTACACACGCAGAGCTCACCACCAGGACTTTCTCCAGCCACTGACCACGGCTTACCCCCAACCATCTCCAGCCACCAATGCCTCGGCGGTCACCTGCGCGGTGCTGTGAAAGCCAGACTCACTTGTGCCCGCAGCTGCTCCAAGGCCTCCAACATGGACGTAGGCCAACCAGCTGTCACAGTAGCATCGCGCTTTCAAGGTTGGTATCCTTCTGCCAACAAACCCGATTGGCCAGAACCTCAGACTTCAAGGAAACCGGTAATGAAGCCAGCAGCATCAACTAAGCTCTAGTTCCTTCTACCTCCCGGTTGCTCCACAGGTTTTACCCGGAGCCAGTAGAGTAAACTTCCAATGACCTCACGATCGGGTTGATCAAGGTGAGCCAATCACCCACCACCAAAATCCCAGGCCACGACCTCCAGCAGCAAGCGGATGCCGTTCTTTCAAATCTCCCCATTTGCTTGAATGCGGCAGTTTCTCGTCCCGCTGCTGGTCCAAGAATGCCCAGCAGGTCCCACGCCTGGCACCTCCGTCGATCTGCTCTTTCATCTCCTTGAGCGCGGCCGCTAAGTACTGGTTCTGGGCCAAGATGCCCTTCAACATTTTCGCAAGTTGCCACGACCCTTTTTCATGCAGGTAGTTGCCTTTCTTGGTCGTAAAGGGCTAGAGGCTGCTGCGTCGGCTCCTCCCTCCACCGGCAGGTCCTTGGGCCTCAGCTGACCCTCGTGTTGCGCCTGTCACTCCACAAAACCTGCCAGCTCCGCACTCCACAGCCCATGGCTAGTCGGTACCCCTTAATGGGAAAAATCCCGCCTATGAAGCGGAGAAGGTTCCATCGATAACCCATTCATCCCTGCACTAGGGGCTCACTTTTTCTTTCAACCAAAGGGGGCTAGTCGTGCCCATGATCCAATGCTCAGGGGAAGCAATGCTCTAATTACAGATTGGCTGCCCTTGGCCAGCCGAAAGCAACAGGGCGCAGACTCAGCAAGAATCCTTAAAGGCACAGAGACAAAAGTTTCTTGTGAAACTCCAAACCCGATTCAGCAATGGAAGCGGTTGTTGCCGCATCGCCTTTAGGACCTTGAGCTTCACCAGCAAAACGATGCCACTGTCACCTCCTGAGAAATCGGATCCGTGCTCATGGCCACGCAAAAGCTGGGGAACGAATGTGTTGCTCGTTGCTCTTAGAGTTGGTAACCTTCCTAGTTGCGGTGTTTACAGGCAAGCCAAAAGAACTGGAAGTCGGGTGGCCTGAAAGCATTTTCCATAACACGCAGCCTGAATCGGTCCATTTCTTCCAACTATGCATTTCACTGTCTACTCTGCGCATGCCTCTACGCACTTCACTCTGCACTTGCCCTGCGTGTGCCTCTATGCGTTTCACCGTGTGCTCTGCGCGTGCCTCTACGCAGTTCACTGTCTATACTTTCCCTGCGCATGCATCTATGCACTTGCCCTACGCGTGCCTCTATGCGTGTCACTGCCTACTTCCCAGCACGGTTTCACACCCCACGGAACCACACCTCACTTGGCACATCGCTCACCGCGCAACAGCCGGATCTCACTCCACAAGCAAATCCTACTGGCACACCACAGCACGTTTATGTTGCAACTGCCTTGTCCGGTGCGTTCGTGTGTGTGTGTTTCACATTAGCCTCTACTTGTCTGAGCTAGGCTGCGAGCTTAAAACGCTCGAATCGTGTCCACAAAAGCTTGGCACACCACACTTCACCGACATGCGCTGCAATTCTTTGTTCATAGCCACCTCTATACGTTTTTGGCAACAACCTTCCAATAAACAGCTGACAACCAATGCGCTCAACAAGCACCTCCCCCATGACACACGGCGTTTCACACGCGCTTTAACCAATACCTCCAGCGGCCCCAGGCTGGTTCAGGCCTATGTGCTTTCGCATTAGCCTCTACTTTTCTGAGCTATGCTGCACCTGCCACAAAACCTTGCGAACAAGGTGTTGTAGCCAGCCAATTTAGCGAGGTCTAAACGAGGTCTAAACAAGGTGCGAGCGCGGTCCACAGACTGGCCTGGCCAGCACGGCCTGTTTGGGCACAATCCTTCATTGGGCGTGCCTTGGCGCGTGCGCATCTGCGTGTGTGAGAGAAAAGCACAGCACAAAGAACCCAACTCCCATGTGTTAGTAGAGGCAGTGCGCACTTGCGCTTTCCGACGAGCAGCATCAAAGCCTATAACTTCTATCGAATCAAATCATACTAGCACGCAACTGAACAACGCAAGGAAACCAACTCCCATGTGTTAGTTGACTGAACCGTCTCAGTATCTTGGCCAAAAGCAGTGCGCCATTGTGTTTTGTGGCAGGAGTGGGCCTCAACATTCAACAGCGCCCATTCCGACCCCCCGTGGCAAACCAGACCCTTGGCTTTGTGCGCAGTGGGGGCTGGGGTAGCACGCGCGTCGTCAGAAACATCTAAGTGAAACGAGTGTGCCCATGCGATTTGTTTAAAAGTGGCTTCCAGCATCATCATGACTCCAAATAGCCTTCGCACAATCTTGTGTCTTGTAGAGCGTGTAACAACAAGGACCCAGTACTGCATTTCACTGTCTACTTTCCCTGCGCATGCATCTATGCACTTCACTCTACTCTGTACTTGCCCTATGCATGCCTCTATGCGTCTCACTGTCAACTCTGCGCATGCCTCTGCGCAGTTCACTCTCTACTTTCCCTGTGCATGCATCTATGCACTTCACTCGGTACTTGCCTCTGCTCAGTTCACTTACTTGCCCTGTGCATGCATCTGTGCACTTCACTCTGCACCTGCCCTATGCATGCCTCTATGCGTGTCACTGTCTACTTTCCCTGCGCATGCCTCTATGCATTTCACTGTCTACTTTCCCTGTGCATGCCTCTGTGCATTTCGCTGTCTACTTTCCCTGTGCATGCCTCTATGCATTTGACTCTGTACTTGCCCTTTGCATGCCTCTATGCATTTCACTGTGAAGTGTCTCTATGCATGCCTTGATGCGGTTCACTGTCTACTTTCCGACTTTGCAGCCGGAGCTGTGGGGACGTACTTCGCGTACTACTTTTGTAGTTGCGACCTTGCAGCCGGAGCTACAGGGACATACTTTGCGTAGTATTTTTGTACTTAAAAGTTGCAATTTTGCAGCCTGATCCCTGCAGACGGTCGTGCGCAGACCGCAAAGATATGCGAAGATTCACAGCGAGAGCAATCTGAAAACGCACAATCTCCGCACAGGGTCGTGCGCGAACCGCCAAGATTTGCACGGGACCGTAGCAAGAGCGATCCGACACGCACAATCCCCGCAGAGGGTCGCACGGCCAGAGTCGCAAAAAAAGAGCAGTTTTTGCACCTCGACCACGCCGATCCCCGCAGAGGGTCGCGCATCACGCAAGAATCGCAAAGAAAAAACCCTTAGATTTTGCACCTCGACCACGCCGATCCCCGCAGAGGTCATCGCAAAAAAGCCCTCAGGTTTTGCACATCGACCACGCCGATCCCTGAGGGTTGCATTTTCGCAGAGCGCGCTTGGTCTCATCACGCCGCCTTAAGATACTAATTTGAAGAAAGGAATGCAAGAGCGCTGCGCATTTCACTGTGTACTTTCCCTATGCATGCCTCTATGCGTTTCACTGTCTACTTTCCCTGCGCATGCCTCTATGCATACTTTCCCTGCGCATGCCTCTACGCGCTTCACTGTCTACTTTCCCTGTGCATCATCTATGCATTTCACTCTGTTCTTGCCCTACGCATGCCTTTATGCATTCTATTGTCTACCTTCCTTGCGCATGCCTCTGTGCATTTATTTGTCTACTTTCCCTGTGCATCATCTTTGCATTTCACTGTCTCTGCCTCTATGCATTTCACGTCTACTTTGCCTGTGCATGCCTCTATGCATTTCGCTGTCTACTTTCTCTGGGTATTCATCTACGCATTTCACTGTCTACTCTCCCTGTGCATGCATCTATGCGCTTGCCTCAGTACTTTCCCTAGGCGTGCCTCTGTGCATTTCACTGTATACTTTCCCTGCAGATGCCTCTTTGAGCTGTGCAGAACGCAACGACTTTGCCGGAAGAACCCTTCGCAATGCTTTCGGGAAAAACCATCCATGATTGTCTGCTTTGTTTGGGGGGAAAGGTAGCCCCAGTTGTTGTGGTTTTGAAAGACAAGCAAATCAACCCCCTCAAATTGTTGGGGGGAGTCGCTCAAACAAGACACGCCTAAATGGCAACCGGCCTACAGACGCAACTTGGCCAATCTTTCCTTGAGGCCTCCTGTAACGATCAAGCTAACCTAGACCCTATTTCAGGTCGGAAGGAAAAAAACCGGGATGTGAGCTCCAGTTTACTCTGCTGTCCCCCACAGCAACCCGAATTTTCGGAAATGTACTGCACACACACACACACACAAGTTCTTGCTGCGCTTTTGTTTATTGGCCCACTCCCTAAAGGTCGGCAACTCGGTGCTCAGAGACCCAGATTTGTTCGTTCGTTCGCTTAATTGAAGACAAATCTCCCGCAGAAATCACAAAGCAAAACCTGACCCAATTTGGATAATAAATATCCATTGGTTTAATTGGGAAGCACTCACTTGCGACACAAGATTGGCCGTCTGGCAGCAATTCTACCCGCGCCCAGCCTATTTGGAATCGCTGCAGTCGAGCCTGAATCGCTTACGCCCACTAGGCTTAAGCAATTCACCGAAAACACGGCTCTTGAAGCGTTTTGAAGATTCTGTCGGCGACCCGAAAAGCGAACAGCCAATTGCGGCTATACGTGTGACCGAGTGTGGCTTGTCGAAGGCAACATGTTTTCGGCTGTTCGGCTGAATTGCTTAAGCCTAGTGGGCGTAAGCGATTCAGGCTCGACTGCAGCGATTCCAAATAGGCTGGGCGCGGGTAGAATTGCTGCCAGACGGCCTGAATTGCTTAAGTCCACTGGGCGTAAGCGATTCAGCCGGATTCAGCTTCAGCCAGCCTGAAGTGCTTAATCCCACTAGACGTAAGCGAACCAGCCCCAAAAAAGCACAGTTTTGACAAAGCCAAGCCTGGTTGGCCTAATCGACACACGCTGCCGCTGCTGCAGACAGCTGGGAGGGCTTAATGCCAAAGGCGTAAGCGATTCAGCCCAAAAAGTTCAATTGGATATGCACCTTCAAGGGATTTTTCCCTGGCGCTTTTTCCCGGCCAAACCAAACGATGCTTTTTGTTACGAACAGAGGGGGGGCTGGCGAGCGCATCAAATGGCTGCTTTTTTTTGTCTGAAGCGGCAGCCAGCGAGGACTTTGTCATCTACCGGGAATTTGCCCACCAAACCGTCTTTGGCCGTCCAAAGCTTTGTAGCAAAGCTTCTCATATGTTGCCAGGCATCAGCATTTTGGCCCACAGGCGCCCTAGGTCCTGGCTAGTTTTGGCGACACGAAGCCAGCATGGAGATGAACCCTGGGCAACTGGCAAACTACACAAAATGACTTCTTGACTTGGCTCGCCACCCAGAGACAATCTTGTTCAAAGTTGGCTGCGTGCTGGAGGGCCGCGCCCGTCCCGAGAACGTCCCCGTCGGTCGGTCCATCGACGCAACGGACGTAAATTTCACCCATCTTGGAGTCCAGTCTGCACTTCTTTTTCTTCGTGCGTGTCCCAAAGTCATGTCGGTCATTGGACTTGCTTCTTTACTCATGCGCAGCTATCTCTATATGTGTCACGAAAGTTCCTGCTGAACTTGCCTTGGCAACCGTGTATTCCCAAGTAATCCTCAAAATAACCGCAGGTTTGCAAATGGCAGGAGATGAACTGGTGCCAGGACTTCAAGAAGATCAGGGTTCACCAAGAAAGGGAGGAAGAGGATGCGCCGCTGAGTCTAGGCTTCGTGACGGGGCATCGACGCAGTCTTCACTTTGCCTTCCACTACTTCTTTGACCCTGAGTGGTTGCGCTGCGTGGGGAAGAGCTGTGCGTTTCTGTGTTCTCCAGCTTCTTCAAATCCTTGACCGTCACTTGCTAGCCACACTAGGCATGCCCGGAAAGGTGGTGTGGTGGACATCCGCCAAGCCTGCGTGCCGCAACAAGGGCCGTAGCACAGCGGCCCTCCTAATCGGATGAAGAAGCTGCCTCCCAAATCCTTGCCGGCAGGTTGCGCGGGGTTGCGACACGAGTGTCGGGTGTACTCGCGGCGATCCGAGGCAACAGGTCCAAGTAGGTCGCCCTGCGACGTTTCATCTGGGGTAGCTCAAACCGTTCCAAACACCCTCAATGCAAACGGAAGTGCCTGGTTTCTGCCACCGTCAAACACAGGAGTTCAAAAGATGGTGAGAAGCTCTGTGAGCGCACCTTGACCGAGAGAGTTAGTGGTGAAAACGTTGAAGCTGATCTCCAAGTTCGAGGCAAGGGATGGCCTGGGCAGGCTCCAGTTGGCTCCAGTCATCTGTCACCACTTGTCAGTCGCAGGCGGTCACGTGATACTTTTCCAAAACACGGGGCCCGTGAGAAGTTTATGTTTGAACGAGATGGCAGCTCCCTTCACTTGAGTGTATTTGAGCCAGGACTCATGCCTGCCGATCTCATTCTTCAACACCGCTCGGTACTTGCTGCCCTTCGCGCACCGAAGGTCAGCTGGAAAAACTTTTCTTTTTTTTACCCGCTTCTAGGCATTGCGCAGTCATAGGGTCGGGCATATGTGGGCATGCGCCGTCGGCATGCGCCGTCGGCTTTCCAGGCGTTGTCGGGTAGCACGTCGGCGGGAAAGCCAAAAGTAGAACGGTCTTTGAGTGACAGTCGGTGACAGTAGCCCCAACACGTCCCCAACAGCTTTCATGTCAAGGCGTCTCGAGTTAGCTCATCCGAAAGGGATCCTTGCTTCGGCTCTGGGAAAAGCCAAGCACCGCCCCTCCAACAAAAAAGGCGCGCCGTTTAAACCCAGACATGTATATGCGTGTAAATTTGTAAATGACATCTGCTGTGTCTGTCCAAGCAGACATTTCAGTCGTAGCAAGTCAGAACTGCCATCTCAGACAAGAAGAACGTCTGTTTTTCCTCAAGCCCAAAGCCGATTTTTTGTCACTGAGCTGTCCGATTCGTTCGGTTCGAACACGCAGAGGACGCTCGCAAAATTAGAGAGTGCTCACAGAACGTCTTACGTGTACAAATATCCAGTATTCTGCCAATGCTTTTTTGTGTTCCCGTTTGCGCCTTATATATCTGGGGGCCTGTGGGGCTGGAGATTTGGGCAGTTCTGGACAGCTCATTCATTGTCAGCCACCATTGTTGGCTTCCATAGCAGCCTTTGTGTTTCGTCCGTTTTGAGGTGTTCAACGATGTGGCCTTGGCGCGCTGCTCCGTGCTAAGTATAAGCTTGTAGGTTCTCATCGCTGGTCGAAGCCCGATGTCGTACAGGGTCTCGTTACTAGCCGCACAAAAATTGAATCTCCACCTGCTCGAGAAAGAACATCGGTCGTTGCAAGGCTTTGCCGAAACTCTTGTTTTTTGTCGGCTGCATTCGCCCAGAAACTGAAGACTCTATGATAAATAGCCAACGAAATATGAGAAGGATTGGATGATGGTGAAGCTGGATTTCGCATCTCCACTCTGGAGAGCAAACTTTCAGCTCGTTCACCCAGATGGCCGGGGGCTATTAATCTGCTACACTTACCCAGTCCTTGATTGGAGCCAAATGTTGAACTCCTAATTAGCCCCAGTTGCTCAAGGTCCTCCAAACCACCAAAAACAACCCCAAAACTGTAACTGGTTACATTTGGGACCCCCCCCCCTGATTACATTGCTATAAGGACCCCCTCGATCAAGCCGAGGATTGTGATGTGATGACACGCCATCTTGGCCACATTTTGTCCGCCACATATTCAGAAGAAGGTTTCTCCCTGCAGGAAAAAACTCAACTAACCCACACAACCTGCTCGGGACAAAGCTTCAAGCAAGTCATGACAACCAAGCTACCCTGGTGCTGTTGCAAAGTTCATGCAAAACACATCAGCGGATCTAGGAGATACTTCGAGTAAAGTAATGCAATGTGGACGAGCGGACACCCAACAATCTTTGCGTTGTACCAAAACGGGCAACAAAGTCCAATAAAATACTTGCAACAATGGCAACTCACTTGCGGCACAAGCTTACAACAGCGCGTTTGCCCTTAAAATCACAACTAAGGTTATCAAACCCCTAGCCCCACCTACAAAACACTGTAATCTGCGTAGGCTTGTGTAACCACAACTGGTACCCTTACAAGCGAGATATTCCAGTCACAAGCGAGAAAAAAGGAACGTCACAAGCGGGAAAAAACTAGCCCCCCATGAGTGGGACGCCCTGGTTGGGATCCTTCTGTTAGGTGGTGTTCGTGGTGCGCACATAAATCACTCGGTCCTTTCATCTGTGCGAAGCGCTGGGCCTCTGCGCGGTCGTGGGCGCCGTAGATGCCTCTGCCCAGCAAACCAATAGGAGACTCCTGAGATCTGCATCTCAAATTGCCCGCTCCAAGCCCCCAAAATGGCGCTTTCTTTGGCTTCCCTGTTGAAAACGCGAACATGGTGTGTACCCTGAAAATTCACACACCCAAGTAGAATCCTTGATGTTGATTGCTGGTCTCTAACATTATTTAAGTCTTGGAGCCCAAAGACATGGATGTTGCTGTAAAGCCGTTCCTTTTGATTGTTTAACCAAAATGAAGATGGGCAAGCCCTTCAAGAAAACGAGACGGAGCATGGCCAACGGTTTGGATGCGGCGAATCTGTGCATTGAAAAGAGTACTCATGGGTTGGAGCCCCAAAATGATGCCGTGGAATCCCATGTTTAAGGGCAGTATGAGGGTCCGGGTACTGAAAAAGATCCAACAGGTGAAGGAAAAAGATGTGAAATCTACGAGAAAAAACCGCATCCAAACCGCTTTCTTGACCAGCATCTTCTTGATTGGCTTGAACCAATCAGTGGTTGACTTAATGGCAGCCCGACAAGGTCAAAAGTCCGCCGTGCCTCTTTCAAACAAGACTCGTGATGCATGTTCATTGACAGCCATGGAAACCAAATTACCGAACCATAGCAATGCTCGAATGCATGCTTGTCGAGTCGAAAACGGCGACATGTCGATCAAAAGCTCTGGCCAAAATCTACAAGAGGGCAAAGAGCACACAGTGAAAGCCCCTGCGAAAAGGCAATTTCTATCAAAGCACACATACCCACACACACCAACTAAAGGACATTCAGGCGACACCAAGCACCTGCTCAAGTTTGTCAAATTTGAAACTTTCCACAACTCGTGCTTAGTCAGGAGTGTTTTTTTGGCGAGGTTCAAGCGAGACATGCAAGCAAAGCAGGAATGTACTTATCTTGTTTTGCTAGCCCTATGTGGCTGGTTGGCCAGGCTGGGGGCTCGATTGGCTGGCCACGTGCTTTGATTCGGTGGCAGTTGCGAGTTGCTCGGGCTGGACGCGGGTGAGTGTTGGGCTTGCTGAGATCTGAATCAGGGCAGGTCTTGGGTTTGTTTGGGGCTCATTTAGACTCGGAGAAGGGCTGATATCCAAGATGCTGTTGGGAGAGTTTAGGGTTGGCTTTGAATGAGTTTGGGTTGGCTTGGAGCTGACTTGTGCCAGGTGCGCGGCTGGTTTCGCAATGGCATTAGGGTTGCTTTAGGGGTGTGTTTGTTCAAGTTTTGGGCTAGGTTTGGGATTGGTTGTGGGGCAAAGCAACCCTAGCACCAGTCCCAAACCTGGCTGATGGCCCTGCAGGCCAAAACCCGATTCATGCAAGCCCCATGGCTCAGCTCACTTTTCTGCCACCGACTCTAAGGCCAATGCATCTTGGCATGTACCTTCCTGAAAGACTCAAAGGAAGGATCACGAAGAAAACCAGCCAAGCCTTCCTGGAATTCAACTTCGTGAGCCTCTTCGCCAGCATCGCACCGCGATGGACCTCACCTCGCGATGGTTCTACGCCTGCGTGCCTGTGTGACCGCGGCCGCACGCTCACACCCAGCTCGGCTGCTTCGAAGACTCCGTGGCTGTCCATCACAAGGATGCCCTTCGTCCTCTCCCAGTTCTAGCGCTCGAAGTGGTGTCCATGCAGCTCCAGCCATAAGGCCCTGACCAGGAAGTTGTAGTCTTCCCCGCTGGTGACGCCTGCGCCATTTGATGCCCGGGGTGCTTTCTGTGATTTGCAGAGAGCCTCCAAAACCTTCTCCCTCGTTCCCTACTCGATGTCATACAGTGTTATAGGCCCCACGATGCCAATCATAGACCCACACATCGGTTCCCTTTTCAAAACCCCCCATCACACCAGAACGAGCCAGACAAGTTCATGACACCCTCAGCCCTGAGGAAGTGAGTGCAGTGAGGGGAGGTCTTGGATGTTTGTTTATGCAGGCGGGCCAATCAGTCAGCGCCGCATTACGCGGCGGAGGTTGGAGTCCGGTTGGGCCAGGTGAACAACGGCGCCATCAGTTTGCTCTTGAAGATCAACAAGATCATGAGGGAGGCCATGTCCGACCACCAACCGATATCGATCATCGCCATCTCCTCCAATGAGGAAGTCTGCCGCGCATTGCGATGATGCCATCCTCGCCGCGGTTCCCCACCAGGACAAAGACGCGTCTGTCTCCATCCACTTCCATCCCAGACGTAAGAGCGTCACTACCACGCCCTGGAACCAAATCCTTGGGCCCTTGGCGCGTGGGCAAGCCCGTAGAAGGCCTTCCGGAGTTTCACCACGAACTCCATCTCGTTGGGGTTGCCTCCGAACATTGCCACAACCTCACTCGCCGTGAAGCCGAGGTTCGCCATCGCCGCGAGCAGCACGAACTTCGTGGTGTTGCTCATAGTTCGCGAGTGGGTCTCCACCTCCGTCAAGTTTTCCGCTTGGAAGCCTAGCGCCACAAGCCTGGCCTTCGCCACTCCCGACGACTTCCACGTCAGGACCCATCTCATCTTCATGGCCTTCTTCTTGTCAACGCCCGGCTTCTTGCGCTCTTCAGGCGTTGGCCGCAGCGGCCACTATGTTCGACAGCTCCACCGCCTGGGCCTCGTCAAACAACTTCTTGTCCTCCTCCAGAAGATGTCTCCAGCACACTCTCGGCTCTTCTCCAACGTCTTTGTAGACAACCATATCTCCGGATTCCTGGTTGCCTTGCGCATGTCGCCCCTACCTCGATCTCCTTCTGGAACGTAAGGTATTGAGGCTTCTCATCTCTCACGTAGCTGATCTTCTCCTCCGGCTTCTTCGCGTCTTCTGTCGTCAGGTCCCGGATGAGCTCCTCCGAAGAGTCAGAGTTCATCGCCTCCGGCTCTTCCATGATGATCCGCGAATCCGTCTTGGGGTCCCACACGAACCCCTCGCCCGGATCGCTTCATTTGCCCTTGAACGCGGCTGTCGCATCACATCAGCTGGTCCAAGATCTTCCTCCATCTGCCTCCGGCCATGTAGCTGCGCCTGTTGGTAAGTGAGTGTGACAGGAGAGCGGCACAGCGTCACGCCCTTCAGGCTGCATCCAGATGTTCTCGCCTCGTGCATCTCCGGACCAACAGCGAGCCTTAACCAGCGCGTTCCTGAGCCAGTAGGTGTTCTGCTCCTTGGCAATCACCCTACCCCGGCTTCGGCCGTTGCCGCCGCAGCATCACCAGATCACGGCCTTGTACTCCTCGACAGGTCGCCCAGTCGTGTTTCCCAAGCTTTGATATTGATTCGCCAATGTGGGCTGGGTCGGAAGGTCATCTCCAGCGTTTTGACTGTGTGTCCACTGAACCGGGGCGTGGCCGTTTGGCTGAATGTGGTTGTTTTGCGACCATGTAGCCGCTTATCCACTGTGTCTTTCAAGTTGCTATCTAGCACCAGCGGCATTATCAAAGGTGATTCACGAATCACCCACAATTGCAAGTCCAGCCCATCGTTGCCATCGGACTGCTCCGGCTTGAGGTGCTGAACCAGAGCCCTTTCAGGCGTGCCCACACTCTACTGGCTGCCGTTCCCCTCTCGCTGCTCCGCAGCTCGCTGGTACCAGGCACGAGGTCTCAAACCTGCTGAAGCTAGCCGCTTCACCATCCCACTGAAGACCTGATCGAAGGCCGCCATTGACCTTCCCGTCGGAGCGCTCCCCGGTCGTCACGAGGTGCTCCGCTACCATCAAGGTGGCCCTACAGGCCAAAACCCGATTCATGCGAGCCCCATGGCTCAGCTCACTTTTCTGCGCACCGAATGGCGCAATGCTCCAGCCCCGCCCTGCGAACATATGCTGATGTGATTCATGTTTGGGGGGTTCTCTCACTAGCCCAAAACTTGCGCAACCACATCCCTAAAGCAACCCTAATGCCACTGCGAAACCAGCTGCACACCTGGCACAAATCAGCTCCAAGCCAACCCAAACTGACTCAAAGTCAACCTTAAACTCTCCCAACAGCATCTTGGATATCAGCCCTTTTCCGAGTCTAAATGAGCCCCAAACAAACCCAAGACCTGCCCTGATTCAGATCTCAGCAAGCCCAAAAATCACCCGCATCCAGCCCCGCGGAACTCCGAACTGCCACCGAATCCAAGCCCAAGAGGCAGCCCTAGTCCGAGTGATGCGGCCGGTTGTATCCGCGGATGCTGTTGATGCGGCCGCCCACCTGACCAACCGACTGACCGACCGACCAACCAACCAACCAACCAGCCCTCTGGCCGGGGCATAGCCCCGAGCCGGGGCTAGTAAAAAAAAGAGAAATCAAAATACCGTTTCCCAAAACTGGCGCCCGACCAAAAAGGCTTCGCAATGCCCATTTTGAGTTGTTTTCGAAGTCTCGATGAAGCCCTTCTGCATGATCTCCGCGGCACTCTCCCTTGAGGTGCCGTGATAAACGTAGTGCGTCTGCGGCAGATGACGCCGCGTCAGCCAGGGGGGGAGTTCTCCATCTTTGAGAGGAGGTCTGTAGGCCATGGCTCGGCTGAGTCCAAGTTGTGAAGCTTAGGGTCTCAGCTTGCCACGAATTGGCCATTGACAACCAAACTTTTGAATCCAAATCCAATGCAAACAAGCAACTAGAGGCCCCCCGGTTTTGCCACTTGGCCGACTTGAGGAAACACCACTACCATGTCCTTCCAGAACTCCGATCGGCTCCGCAAATTTGGATACCGGGCCCCCAGCTCCGAGTCCGGCTCCCTTCCAACCACCATAGACTATGGCCGTGACCAGAAAACTGACAGCTCCAACTTAAACGCTTCAACTTTCGGCTCGGAATCAATTGGACACGGGTCCCGGCTCACGGTAGAGCCAGCTCCGAGCCAGAAAGTCACCAGTGGGACCAATGCTTTACTTGCGAGCGGAAAGGCTCGGGAGGGTCGGTCCCTCGAAAAAAAGGCACCCGAGCGTGAGATCCCCATGTTTAAGGGTAGTTTGAACATCGGTCCAGGCACTGGAATGATATGGCCAACTCACGGCCTTGCTCCGCTCAGGGTTTCCAGGTTTCCAGGTGTCCAGGGTAAGGAAGCCAACACCTGAGGACTGCTGTTGCATCGGAATAAGAAACCAACATGGACATTTTGCTCACCAGAGATGCAAAAGCTGAATGCTGTGTGATATTGCCCCACAAATGAAGACCATTGCACGGCAAAGGGGAGAAGGGATGGTTTGCAGAAACACAAGTGGCAAGAAAACCTCGCACGCACTCCAACCAACATGACAATCAAACAACAATGGTTGAAAGCAAACACAACCATGGATTCAGCCCAACAATGTGCAAGACATCTTTCCAAAGTAGGTTCCACAAATGGGGCTCAAAGAAACATCCAAAAGGGCATCCCTAGCTTTGCCGACACCAAATGACCAAAGATAGAGCACTCGCAACCATGGCCGCAAGGCGCTTCGATGTTGGTCGCTTCGAGTCCGTGGCTTGGAAGCCCTTGAAGAGACTCGGGGGCTCGGGGGCATTGCCCCAATCCAAACTGAGGCCAACCTCAAACAGCTTGGCCCAAGCAAGACCAAACAGCCCCCAAAAAGTCACCGAAGTTTGAAACGAAACCAAAGACAAGAACTCCTTCGAACTCCCAAAGAGCCAAATGGCGTGCCATTGGGGGGGACACATCCTTCTCTTTTGCCTTAGGCATCAAAAGTCAATCCCCACGCAGTGAATTCAAGCCGTTCCAGCTTTCTTTCCATTGAAAGCCCCATGAGCCTCTGGGCAAACAAAAACCAACAAGTGGTACCCAAATCGCACCAGTCCAAACTCTGTTTTCCAGAGATCTCCCGATCGGATACTTAGGGACCTCATGGTGAGCTCGTGATAAACCCATCGGTGACCCCGCCGCTCGAGAACATGCCGTGGGGCGGCTCTTTTTTCTCAGGCCCAGTACCACTTTCTTGGCTTAAGGGGAAACCACAAGGAACACCACCATTTTGGGGGTCCCCCAGAAAATTACAGAAGACCAACGTGTGTCCACCCGTCGGTTTTCGGGGTGTCCCGATCGAAATTATCGTGGCGACTTGGAGTTTCATTTTGAGCCGAGCCAAAATCCGCCGAAGACCCACCAGACATGGTGCTGAATTCAAAGAAATAACTCTTGGTGAAATGAGAAAGGTCCAGCTCCACCAATCCCAAACCGCCAATCCAAACTGCACCAATCCACTCCAAGCCACCAAGCAACACCTCGAATCTCAAGAAAAACACACCGAACCACCCATCCACACCATAAACCCGGACAAGGTCTTCGCTTCCTTCTGGCGCTCTTGCGCTCTTTTGGTACCATTCCCGAGTCGGGTGAGGCATCCCACCCAATGTTTGTTCGTTGGATCCAAACCAGCAAGGCAACCGGGCAAGCAAAATTCGCCAAATCACTCCAAAGAGAAGCAGGTCCAAAAGACGACAAAGTATGTGTTAAACTAGCGAGGCCTGGCAAAACTGGTGGCACCTTGTTTTCCCTTTCCCCAGTTACAAGAACAGTCACATCAGGAAGGCGGCACAGCAAACCACCGCCATTGGCAGTGGCCCTCTCACAGAAGACAGCATTGGCGGCAAATAAACATCGCCTGGGATGTGTATCTCACTAGCCCAAGGCTTGCCTCTGAGTCTTTCCAACCAACCAAAGGTTTCCGCGAAAATCGCGCAAACCGCGCCGCGAAAACCGCGCTCGCCGCGAAAACCGCGAAAACCTCCCGCTCGCTCGCGGAAACCGCCGCGAAAGCCGCGGACGGCGTCGACCGGTGGGAAGTCGAAAGCCTCCCATTGCCGGGTCTCGCCTGCTTCCGCTCCTTCTCCGACTCCTCCCGCACCCGGCGGGCGGTGGCCACCACGGCCATCTCCTCGGGAAGAATCGGAAACCTCTGGGCCTCTGCCTCTGAGGCCAAGAAAAATCCGGATTTTTTGGTTGGGGGGGGGGGGGTTTGGTTTAGGCGGGATGGGAGGGGTAAATTTGTCAGATCTTTGTTGGGGGGGGGGGGGTTGTTTTGTTTGGGGGGATGGGAGCCTTGGGAAGATCCGCTAAAAAAAAAAAACAACGGGGGGTCGGGCTGGGGGGGGAGGAGTCCCCTGTTTTGAGATCGCCAAATCAGCTCCCAGCGCCTTCCGTCGGTCTTGTCTCGGCTCAATCCTGTCCTCCATGCCACCTTTTGATTAACGGGCGCAAACCAGGTTGTGGTAGAAAAACAGGGCCCAAGCCTCGAAATGAGGGACCCTCCCCAAACAAATTTGAATTGCCCACTGTTTAGCCATCTTAGAGAGGGTACCACTAGAAAAGGGCACACCTATATCAACATGTATGCACACCCAAAGATTGGACTCGGAAACGAGAATTCAACTCAAAGGATGCAGGCTGGGTTCCCTTCAACAGCAAACCTCAAAAATGACATCCTGAAAAAGACACACCGCACTGTGCGGCCCGGCTAAATTTGGGAGGCCCATGTCTTGCCCAAACTAACAATAGACTACTACTCAGTGATTGTGTGCCTTGCCCTCAGAAAACAAACAGTCCCAACACGGGCCGCACAATCATCCAGTCCATCTGACAAAACAGGGGGAGGTGTCTCCAAACAGGAGAACCCATGTTGGCCGGCTTCCGTTTGGTTTCCATTTGGAAAGGGTAGCCTGAAAAGCACATACTCATGGCTCTCAGCTGCCTTTATGGTTGTTTAACACAACCCTCACAGAGCCAGACTCAAAAAACATATGAGTGCCTGGAACCCCCGAAAGCCTCAAATAATGAGGTCTTGGGCTTCTAGGGGACCTTAACATAGTTCCCTGGAAAAGGAAACGTTCAAACTGGGCTGAGAAACCGGTAAATTTGCCGTCGACTTGGTGCCTTCATCTTGCTGGCGACGTTGAGAGATTCCTCATAGGTGGCCTCGTCGTAGTCGATCTTGAGCCCTTCCTGGCAATGAATACCGAAGCTCAGCTGCAATTGACGGTTTGGAGCCGAATCGGTGGTTTGGTGGGTAGGGGTGGTAAACCCCATTTACCCTCTACAAAAGCTAGGGGTTCACATCCCCAAACCACAGGTTACCTGAGAATTGGGAATTCGGCACCTTCCAACAAACATGGAACCCGCACAGCCCCCTCAGGAAAATGGTCTCTCTTGAACCGGTTCCTGTGCGGTTCTATGCTTGTCGAGGTCGCAGTCCAACATCAAACAGGCACTTCCATCCTTGTTGGGAAGTGTACCATTCACACCTCGTTTCTGAAGGGAACCACACCTTGTCCTACTATATCACTGGCAAAACGACCTACTTAACAATACGAAGTGGGACTGAACATCCAAGAATCCAACATGCGTTTGCATAGGTGACCACAATTCCAAGAACCAGGGGTCCATCATAAACGCTCCAGCGGGTGTGGTGCTGCCCTCTTATCAAACAGTTTCCGCTTTGCAGTGCTCGCCAAGAAAAAACACGTATCCACCAAGAGCTCACACATTAGCCACACCCAGTGCAAGAAGGAGTAGCTAGAAGGTAATTAATAATGAACACACACGAACTAAACTAAACAATGCATGCAAGTAATTCGGCTATAACACATGCAAGCACACAGGCACGCAGGCACACAGGCAAAATGTGCGCAACTGCATCACAACCGCTCCACAACCAAACAACAAAGCACCAAAAAAGCTGCGCACACACACAACACAAAGATCTGGATTAAACAGCAGAACACTACCCAAACAACCCCAAAACCTTTATCATATGGCAATACCCTTTACTGTTCATCTAGTCTTATGCCAATATCTACCACGGCAACCTCCGCAACCTCGTCCCACTTCTTGGAGTAACTTCCCCTTTCTGACATCATGGATGCTTCTTCAAGAAAGCCACCGAGAAAAGCTATAGGGGAAACGTCCGGTTTTGTAAAAGAACGATGGTTGCAAAGAATGAACAAGACTCAACCCCTGGGTATCCTTTTGGGAACATTAGACAGCACTGGTTCCAACCTGAGCGAACAAGGATGGAACCACGCCTGGAAATCCGCGTGCGCCGCAGCCCAACGCTTGAGCTTCGCATTGGCGCGGCCACGCGCTTTGTAGGCCTGCCAATCGAGAGAGCTGCCGATGATTTGTTGAAACTTATTTGCATTAAGGAAATAATTCAGGAACTTGATTTTGGGCATCTGGGAATATATTCTGGAAATTGCGACTTGGAATCATTTCAACGTCAGCCTGAGTTGGCGTCACGTGCCTCAACAAAACGGCTGGACGTCGCGTGTAGACCCCACCCCCACAAGAACCTGACGGAAGGCCTTCAGGCCATGAACAATCAGCTGAAGAAGTGGTCAGCTGAAACCACCAGAAATGAGCTTCCCTCTCATTGGTGGTTTGGAGCTCGGTGCTTTGGCGCTTATCCCATGTGCCCTCTACAAAAGCCATTCAGTGCAAATCCCAATCCACCAATCCAAACCACCAACTAAAAAAGGGATACCTGAAGAAAGGATGACTCCACATACCGCGGGCGGCGGACCTCCGCTTTCTTCGGATGGCTGAAACCCTAACGCCGACCCCTGAACCCCAATGGCGCACGCATGCGCATGCCTTCCCGGAGTCCGGGTTCAATTCCAGCGCTTTGCCTTGCAACACGTCGTGGCTGTTGAGGTGAGAGGACGCCTGCTTTCTATGTATATATAATATATGATATATAATATATCTATTTATATATATATATCTATATATATATATATACCATTTGGGAGTGCGGGGTGCTTTGAGTGTACCGTTTTCTGGGGCTGGTTGAAAAAGCAACCAAAGGGAAACCACGCAATTCATTGGAGCCCCAATTCTAACACGTCCTCATATAAGATCTGGGCAAACCACCCCCAGGTAGGCTCGTTGTGACTCGTTGTGGTCCAAGATAGAATGATCAGGATATGATAGGTGTGCTGGACCCTTTGTCTAGTTGGCTTTCACGGTGAAAACCACTAGTAAACCAACCACGCCCGGGGGTTCCCACTTGTAGGAACCACTGCAATGCCTGGAATCTTGCCGCAAGAAGCTCAACGCTTCATACTGATTCAGAGCCATAGGGGAGCCATGGGAAGCACGTGGCTCGTGGTCCTGACAACGGCAGGGAATCCATGCCCCATGTTGGCAAATCAGCCAGCTACGAATACGGCTATCGGCCAGCATTCCTTGGAACCCTTCACCAAACTTGGATGGCAGGTGAGAATGACCCCCTCCCCCTCCCGCCAGGCGTTTGTCCAGCCTCAGATTTTGCACCCAGACCGAAACACGATGTTGGACTATGATCCATGTCTTGCGAACCTTAACATGCTTAAAACCGTTTCAAAAGAGATACCAGTCCTTACCAACCGAGTCTAGAGGTCTGCTGTGTTTCAGCCGGAAGGATCCTCGGATTCAGAATGGGGAAGTTGCCGAGCCTAGTTTTCCACCGTCCAAAATGCCCTTGGTACTGTCTAGCCCCAATTGGGTCATAATCAACACCTGTCAAAACCACGTAAAGAAAGGCGGCTGCACCCATTTATGGTTGGGATTGTCCCTTACTAACCCTCAACTACCCGGAACAATTTGCACGGTAGAAGGGCCAACCGAATAGCAAAGAGCCAAAAGGGTCGAGCCTGTTGATGGACTGTCCCAAAACCACTGGAACGGACAGGGAATTGAATGGTGACTTCGGCTATGGGTGGTTTCCCTGGCAAGGAAATCGTCTAGTTGCGCGGCTTCCTCTGACTCTAGCAGGGTCCTCCGATTCACCCGAGTTAACTTAATTTCAAAAGGGGGAAGCCACAATGATAAAGAATCAAACAGGTTTGCCCGAAACCGCTGGCAACGGGGGAAGTTCATATAGGGGAGCAAACAACTATCGGGTCGTGGGATACTTTAAGCCATATTTAGTCATGATCACAGCGGAGCAACCCTCGGCATGTATATAAATATGGGCTATTCGTAAACGGGGCTGTCAGTAATCAGTAATGATGTCAATACTGATTCAGTGTTCAGAGCCTTAGCAATGCCATGTGAGCCATGGGAAGATTATAGCCCTTCGTGGTGCTTCATGACCCTCATAGTCACTTTGAGTCACGTTTGGCTGCAATGGGCCCCCCTATGGCTTCGAATACTGTACTTGGATTCCTGGATGACCACCAATCCTCAGGTGACGAATCCGTGAGATTTACCCTACATCCATTCCGTGCCACCGTTCAGAACCCCTATCACGGTTCCCCTATAACCAACAAACGTTATGATGTCAACCCTTGTTTCATTTGATGGTGCGAGACTCGCGGATTTCACCACCAGCTGCAACTTATGTTGTCATTCCAAAACCTGAAATAGGAATAGGATGTTCAGGTCAAGGACCTTTACCATGGTGAGCTCGTTTTCCCTCATATCGACCATATCGATGATAAATATCGCAGAGCCATCCACATGACTGCAACTGTCCATTGTACTGTGGATGGACGAAATCCATTTCGCACCACCTAAGACACCCTCGACTTATGCTTCCCATGCATATAACCACAAAACCATGGGATTCAAGCCATGGTTTCAACTGGTGGAGTCATCTTTTTCGTTGGCTTTCCCGAATCGCCCCGTCTTCCGGGTGGCTGCAGTCGCGCAGCGCCGCTTTGGGCCGCTGCAGCCGCAGTAGCAGCTCCCCCCGCCTCGCGCCCAGGAAGCCAAAAAACACGTGGTTTTTTTTTCCAGAGGAACGGCCCACCAAGAAAAACATGTTCAGGGAAGAAAGCCGTAAAAATCATGTTTTTTTCTGGAAAAACACGAACAATTCCTGCTTGTTGCTTGCGCTTCCCAGGTTTTCGTTCCCAGCCTTGGACGCACGCCTGATATCCCGAGTTTTAAGGGAAAGGCAAGGAAATCAAAGGGAAACGCAAGTCGTTCAAATAAGGGAATCACCAGCTTTTCTTTGGAACTGGGGGGCTCTCGAGGACAATGTGTTGTAGATATGTAGCCCCAGGGCCAGTGGAAACAAAAGAAGACACGCCCATTCGGGGATGGATCTTAATTGGTTGGACCCCTTGGTGGGCATCGGAAGCACAAGATGTCTGCCATCATCCACCACTTATGAGGGTTTTCGGCATTGAAAGTTGTTGTCTCAAGTGGACAAATACACACACACACACCACCTGATACATCATACAAACAACACGTCTGAACTTTGCTGGCAGACATCTATTCAATAAAAAACAATGCTTTCCGCCGGTCTGAGGGAAGTGCTCCATAATTTCCCCTTTAAAAACAATGAGGGTACCAGGGTAGTGCAAGGGCCCGTGCCTTTCAACGAAATTTAGTCATAGGCCAGCCAACGATTCGCAAACAGTTCTTGCGAGCTCAGTTTCTCAGATTCCCTCGAATTGGTGGTTTGGATTCGTGGTTTGAAGGTGTGGCCCTTTCGCACAATGCTCAAGCCCCCCGTCCCAAAAAATCCCTGGCGCTGGGCCAAAGTCACAGGGGTTATTGTCGAACTACCGCTTACGTCTTCCCCAGTCTCGCCTCATTGCGGGTTTTGAGTTGCCGGGTCTCAACATGAGGACTCACCATGAAAATGTGAAAATGATAGACTAAATGCGCAATCCGCCGACATTGCTCGGCGTGTCGGACACGTAAGAGAGGATAGAGGATAACCCCCCCCCCCCTTTGCGCCCCCCCCCCCCCACGGACCGCGCGGCAATTTGATGACGTTCCACTAAACGTAGTCTTCGGGGAGCCGCAAAACAGGGGTCCCAGGCTCGATTCCCCTGCCGGCTCTTTGCTGGTTTGGAGTTCCTGCCTCCTTTTGACGAAAATCTGGAAAAACTCTGTGTTTTTGGCCGTCCTAATTGCGAAAATGCTGGAAAAACCGTGTTTTTTTGCGGGACATATTGGGGAGCAAAGGGGAAATGCAAGGAAGTGCAAGGAAATGAGGGGAGGAAAGTCGACATGACAGGAAAGCAGCGGGAAATAAAAGGGAAACAAAGGGGAACTGAAAGGGACATGCAAGGGACAGAAATGAAAACAAGGGGAGTGAGACAGACTGAGAAAGAGAGACACAGCAAGACAGAGAGAGAGAGAGAAAGAGCGAGAAAGTGAGAGAGTAGAGAGGTTCGAATTAGGGTACCCTTTTTCTGTAGAGGGGCGTAGACAGGAAGGAGACAGGGAGACAGACAGAGACAGAGAAACAGAGAGAGAGAGAGAGGGAGATTGAGGAGAGAGAGGCTTGGGGGGATGGGGAGGATGGGGAGCAGAGGGAGGGAGAGAGGACGACAGAACACACGAGGGAGACAAGGGAGAGAGGAAGAAGGAGAAAAGGGAGAGGACAATGTCGGCGGACTGAGCCAGAGGCCCTAAAGTTTAGGAAAGTGTTAGTAGCAAACCAGCTCTTTGGCATTTGAGAGGCGATCGTGTGTCCTACAGGCCTCGTCCCAAAACAGTGTTGAGCTTTGTCGGCTGCAAAACAGGAAACTGTCAGGTTGCAAGCGTGAAGAAAAGGTCAGCCAAAGACCAACCAAGTGAACCGCAGGCGAAAGAAGTCTATCCATGGGAATGAAGATTCAGCCCGATAAACACATCTTTCCGCATGCACACCCAGCCTTTGCAGCGACTGGGATCTCTCAGCCATCCCTTGATGCGCTGGCAAGCTTCAGTCATCCTCTTACAGGGAGTTTGCGCGGCAGGAAACATGGAGCAACAGAATGGTACTGGGACCCTCCGAGTGTCAGGCCCTGTTTATGGGTGTCCGTGGGTGAAATGTGGGGATTCCTCACTTTTGGAGGGGAACGCCCCCCTTATTCATAGGACGGGTTTATGAATCCGGAAAGAAGCATGCTTACACCAGGAAAGTACAGGCACAATTCCCTTTACAGGGTTGACGAAACCTAAGTGGTGGAACTCGGCCCTCTACTTCCATATCTGTGTTGGAGTTGTGGATGATAGAAAAATCCCGCCTGCCGTACATCAGCGCGGAGGCACAGCCGATGGCAATAGCCTGGTCCGTTTGAACCCCGTTCTGAACCACTTGGTGGAGTGGGTCCCGGGGGTCTGGCGAGATGTTTTGATTAAACATACCCTAGGGGTAAACCCAACCAGCAAGCCCGGGGCCTTTATCTTTTGTTCATAGGCTACGTGAGCCACAACCAAAACCCGGGTAGTTGAAGTTCAGTCAGGGACAGTATTGACCAGAAATATGGGTGTTTGTTGTCGATAACTCTTTACATAGTTTTGACCATTTCGGTGCCAGATTTTGATTGTGACTCACCTGTCCTATGGCTGTTTGTTTCATCATTAGGTTTTGATGGGGCTGTTCTGAATCTTACGTAAGCCACATCAAGCCACTCAGGGTGACAGTGAGTCAAGACTACGCACACGTGACTCTCTCTCTCTCTCCCTCTATCTCTGCGCGCCGTGTGTGGCCGCCAGGCAAGCCACTGTAATCCTTCACCAATGCATGTTGGTTTTCATAGAAAGGGAAACCCCTGGTTACCGGGACATGAATCGCTGGGAACTCGAACATGAGAAACACTTACTGGCTCGAACGGCACTGCGTAAGATCCTCCAGGAATCCCTCGTGGCTGGTTCGGTTTGGGGTCGTTCCAACTCAGGGACCCTGCATGTTGTAGTTTCACTACTCAGAAGCAAATTTAAGATCACACCTAAAACCGAACACCGAAAGCTGAACACCAATTTAAAAACACAACAAACCGTCCAAACTATCCAAACCCAGCTTGTTCCACCAGAACCGGGAGCTGCACCAAGCTCGGGACCACCTCATCAACAGCTTGATCCGGTCACGCCTCTGAAAAAAAAAAAAACTCTGAAAAAACCACGGCCTTTCGAGCACGAAACCCTTGAAGAACTTCAAACCACAGCGAATTAATTCCCCGGCGAACTCCCCCCGCGGAATTCGCGCGAACTCTCCGCGGCGAGTTGTCTCTGCGGGGAATGCCTCGGTGAGCTTTGCCGCGGCTTGGTCGAAGCACTGGTCCTCCGCGAGCTCGGCGCTCTCAGCCTTCCAGCTTCGAGTCGGTCGGTTCGGGTAGCTTTAAGGTCCAGTTGTGGCAAGTCGCCATGTTTCTCTTGGGTTTTGAAATGGATCCACTGGGTAGACTAAGATGAGTTCGTGGGCTACTGGTGATAGCTCCCTGGCCGAAAAAAGCGACCTAACGGTCCTGGATCCGACCATTTTTCTGCTCAGGGGAAGTGGCAATGGCAAACGGCCATCGTGGGAACGAGGGTATTTCAGGCTACCCGGACCCTCAAACTACCCTCAAAAACTGGATTTCACCCCATAATTTTAGGGCTCTAACCCATTTTGTTGGAATTTTCAGGGTTCAGATTAGAACGCGTTGATAGAATCACACTCCGATTCCCCCTGGCGCGCTTTGACTCGAAGCCCACGACTTGAATGGAAAAGCTCAATACGCCTCCCCCCCACCAAACAAACCCCAACTTGAGAGCCGGTGGGATGGTGGGAAAAGGGAAGTTTACTCCAAAGCCTTCGATTTTCCAGTCCACATCGTTGGAATGAGGCTGAGAACTTGAAATCCAGCAAAATAGGCAGCATTCTGAGGCACGCACTAATTATTGCTACTTCCCTCCCTCCCACTTGAGGAAACTGATCTTCCAGGTGCCTCACAGGTGCCATGGCAACGGAGGGAGCACCCTCCCACCAATTAGCATGGAACTTGACAGGGTCCTGGTTTGGGTACCGAACGTCAGGTTCCACGCGAAGGAGGGGCATCCCCATGGCTTTGTCTCAAATGGTTGCTATCCAAATTGGGCTTCCCTTTAAAACCACTGCTTGGTTTCGATGCTCCCACACAGGTGTCCTTTTAGGACAAATAAATGGGATTAAACCACGAGGTAAACCAGGGCCATATATTTTTCTACCAAAACAACCAAAAAGGACCCATGTTCTCTCAGCTTCCCCCGGTTTCGGCTCGTTGAACCCTTTCCGCGCCCGAACCGCCCAGCGGGCGCCTTCAGTTCCGCCTGCCGCTCCGCCTGCTCCTCCGTCAGCTCCTCGCGAGCCCCGAGAACAGCGGAGGCGCTCCGCCAAGCCGATTTGGCTGTGGGACGGTCAACACCGTTTTGGGATCCCATTTTGGTGGGCAGGTGAATTCACCACCCATTTTAGGCTTCCTATTTTAGTGGTTGGATTGAATCGGATGTTCACTGGGGGCTAACCGATTTGGGTTTTGACCCATGGCCATTTGTTTGTGGCTTGACGTATGGGTGAAGCTCGTCCTTTTTCGTAAACCGGACACCCAGAATGGCAACGGTGTCTTTTTGGCTTACCTGAAAACAACCAACCAAACAGGGCACCCTCAAAGAAAGACACCGGAATAAAGACATACACCAATTTACGGGACCAACTAATTAGAATCAAGGGTCTTTAGAATAAGAATCGGGTTTTGGGTCATGACCATGGGAAACCAACGTTAGTTCAGCTTTTTGCCACTCAAGTGGTTCATACTCCCAGCTGAAAAAGTGCCCCGCAAAAAGATATCTGCGGATGGACGAAATGCTGCACTAATTGGTTGGTGGTTTTTCCCATGTTCAGAGTCAGCTGGTGCACCAAGCCGTTTCCTGTGGCATGAGGGGGGAAGCGCATGATGCAGGCTGAGGGCGAGCAGGAAAGGGCCATTAAGCACCACTCATTTACATGGCTCCTATCGTGGCTCTGAACCAGTATTGGAACAATCTCTATGGATTTGTTTCTTGATGAGGGAAAAGCAAACCGGGAATCAAGATTGGAGACGGTATTCCCTAGTGCATTGTATGCCACAGTAGGTGGATGGGCACCCTGCACCATAGAAGTGATGCCGTCAAAAGGGAGGAGCCGCTGCATGCGCCGTGGGCCCAGCATCGCCGAAAGAGGAATCGTGTCGCACCAGTCTCATGTATCCAGCGCCAGCTCATACTCTCGGATGCCTTTCAGCTTGATCACTTTGAGGATCTTGGAGTCACTGGTTGGCTGCAATTGCCAAAGCCCTTTATGGCAAAAAGAATCCGTCAAGACTTGCCTTGTCTCTTGGGGAAGATTGGAAACTCCGGCTCCTTGAGGATTTCGCGTTCAAGGGGCCCTTCTACAAGTTTTCCAAATTGTGTAACATGAATTGCTATCAAGACGGATCGTTCCCCTGGTACCACCTGGAGAATGTAAGGAATCTGTAGGGTTCCTTTGTCAGGATGTAGAAATGTATTAGACAGAGACTTGAAGTATATTAGAAAGTGCAGATTTCGTGGCAGGGGCAGTATCCCAGCATCTTGTCTGAGTGCGCGAAAAGATAGAGTTTGCGCAAAAACATAGCAGGGTGCAGGACGTCGCTGCCGAAGATGTGTGAAAGGTACCTCTGCCGCGGCGCCGGTTCGGGACGGTCTCGGGACGGTCCGGGACGGTCTCGGACGGGGGCCCATTGTAACAGCAACGCGGAGGTTTCGCAAGGTTAGAATTTCGTGGCAGGCGCAGCACTTTTTCGAGCCGAGGTATAGATTTCGCGGCAGGCGCAGGACTTTCGCAAGGCCAAGTATAGATTTCGTGGCAGGCGTTGGCACGAGCAAGGTGGCGCATGCAGATTTCGTGGCAGGCGCAGCACTGTCGCAATGTCAGGTACAGATTTCCTGGCAGGCGGCAACATTTTCGCATGGTCGAGTAAGATTTCGTGGCAGGCGCAGCGCGTTCGCAAGGTCAGGTACAGATTTCGTGGCACTTTTGCAAGACTGGGTACAGATTTCGCGGCAGGCGCAATACTTTCGCAAGGTCAAGTACATATTTCGTGGCAGGCGCAGTATTTCGTGACCGAAGGTACGATTCCACTCTTCCAGCTGCAGCTCGAAAATCGCAAGCTAAGTACAAAGGTAGTATTCGAAGTACACTTACTTTTCCAGATGCAGCTCGAAAATCGCAAAAGTACAACACTAGTATTCGAAGTACACTTTTCCAGTTGCAGCCCGCAGCACAAAAGTAGTTTTCGAAGTAGATATATATATAGATAGATAGCTAGACAGACAGACAGACAAACAGATAGATATACAGCTAGATCGATAGATAGATAGATAGATAGATAGAATTTTAGATAGCTAGCCAGATAGACAGATAGATAGAAGGATAGATAGGTAGATAGCTGACTAGATAGACAGAGAGATAGATAGCTGGGTAGACAGCTAGATTGCTAGATAGATAGATAGATAGATAGATTAGCTAGATAGCCATACAGACAGACAGATCGATAGACAGACAGATAGATAGACAGCTAGATAGATAGATAGATAGATAGATAGATAGATAGATAGATAGCTAGATAGACGGCCATATAGACAAATAGATAGATAGATCGATCGATCGGTCGATAGATAGAAAGTTAGATAGCTAGCCAGTTAGATCGCCGTCGCACACAAGCAGTGAGAACTCAGAAGCGAGCATCAGATGCGAGAAGCTGTCTTCTTTCCGCACGCGTGCCGTTGCCGGCCGCGAGGCGCTGCAGCATTTGCTTGAAGGCTGGGAGGTTCTTGGAAAGAGTGCTTCTGGCATGGCATGTTCAAGGAGTAAGGCATCCCCAACGAAACCAGCAACAGTGCAAATTCTATAAGTCCCGTTCGCTTTAGAAACTTCCGCCCCGCGGCTCTGCCGGCTCTACTGGTACTAGAAGGGACGGGAAGCCGTTGGCATTAAAGCTTCCTTCGCAGAACACCCGTCTGTGCCACTCCTTGTGTCGATCATGGCCATGTAAGAATCCTGTTGCCGGTTCTCTAACCTCCCTAACCTCCCATTCAAAGATCCACCACTGGGTCCACCACCCCTAGTAAACCTGTGTCAGTAAGCAGGTGTCTCGACCATGGCATAATCACGAGTCCTGGAAAAGGGATTCAACCTCGCTCCTTAGACAGTGAAAATGGTCAACCTGCCCCCAACCGCAAGGGAAAAGCATGGGATGGATTTCGCGGAATCCGGGCGACTCCCTGCCCGAGAAAGACGCGTCCTCCACGTCTTCTGGCGCCATCTCTGGAAAAGTCTCCTCTTCCTCAACCTCCTCCTCTGCAAGCTGGCTTCGAGTGTATGGCTCTGTGTGTGTATGCTTGTTTTTGTTGGAGCCTCTTTTTGGGGCTGGTTGAATCCCGCAGGGTCACCAGCGATGTCACATCACCTTCCCCAGAAAAGAGACTCAGCTGGCCAAATTGGCTATGTCAACCACCCACGCACCCCACGCCCAAGCGCATTTGGCCCCAAATGTCCTTTAAACACGACCCCGGATTTATAGACCCCTGGTTGATGAATATGGGGGTGGGGGCCTCTCCAAAAGCGGTCTGAACCCTCACCAATATTGATAAATGGGGGGTGTATTCATCCGGTTTCAACATGAATAAGGATGTGTGTGCTTCTTTTGCCAAATGAAAGAACTCTCTCAAGGAAGGCGACAACTTTAAGAGGTCCCTTACGAACAACCTAGCCGTCGCGACCTCAGAATCCAAGCCAATCAACCGATTCACGAGCCCTTATGCTTCCAGTTGCCACCGCAGCAAAACAATAATTGAATTGGGACCCACTTACCTCACTTCCCGAGTGGATGGCCCGAAACAAGTCACACAACTAGAAATGTTTGCCACAATATGGTCTTCCCAAACCTAAAATGTGAAACTATCCGAGTCCCGGAACTCAGGAGGCGATCATCCGAGCAAAGGTTGACCATCTTAGACCTCAACTGTGCTCGGATGTGCCAAAAGGCTGAGGCTTCCAGCCTCTTTGCTTCCCATCCATGCGTCCCCGTATTGCCATAGTACTAGGGTTGATCCCCCCCATTCTGTTCACACATCGTTCTTTTCAACAAGCAGATGCTTTCCCTGGTGTTTGCTGGATTCTCGTGGAAGGAGCGGGGAACTTGCCCCTGGAAGAGACGCCGATGTGGATTTCGTAAACCCCAGAACATCAGCCCATGATGCGGCATGCTTTAGCCCCATGCTTCAAAAAGCTTACCTCAGCTTCTACCCACTACAACCATACATGTTTAATCTGGTGAAACGTGTTTCTCTTCAGATGTAAACCTCCATTTTCTGAAGCCCCCTGGAAAAAATACAAACATGTCCAATAGTCAGAGATTCCCTTCAAAGCCAACAGGGCACCATCAAATGAAACATATTCATTTCAGCAACTGGAGGTTCTCTTTGGGGGTTTACGGTTTACGCTTCTCTTTGGGGCTTACGGATTGGGCAAATGTCTACCTAGACTCTCCATGACCCTTAAAAAATGGGGTCATTGCCCAAAATTAAGGGGTCCCCTTTTTCTAGGGGTCATGGAGACTCTAGGTACCTTCCGATTCCATTCTTCCGCGATTCGCTTGCGCACCGATCGATCGAATCCGGCCGGGCCTCGACGTCCTGTGGCTCCGAGGAGGAGATGCGGCATGCCAGGACCTCGGAGACGCTGGAGGCATCTCTCTCGGGGGGGTCCCGGTGAGTGTGACCTTTGTTTTGGATGGTGCCCTGGTTTTGGGTGGGTTTCAAGGGAAGCCAACTTCGAGAAAACCCAAACCATGTTGGGGGTCCATCCTTCAAACAGACATAACCCCCCACCGTGGATGCTTCAGCTTCGAAAATGGTTGTGCTGTTCCCTGGCTTCCGGCCGTGAGAGTTTTACCAAAGGCGGTACGGACGGACCTGTCTGTACCCGAAAACATGATGCACACGTCAATGAGGGTCGGGGAACAGGAGCAAAAGAAGCAACGACTCTCGGTGTGTTTTGGGGTTGAAAACAAAAACACATCCAAAAACCCCGTGTTCTCCTGTGTGCCAGCTAGAAGATTAACGATGACAATGACCGTTGTATGGATGTGCAATCCGCTTCCTCTGTCTCACTATGTATATATATATATATATATAAAACATATATCATACTCGATCGGTATATATGTGTCTATATATATATATAACACCGTGTATGTAGTATGTATGCCTGCTTGAATGTCGCTTCATATACGCCTTGCCTCCCAAGGCCATGCAACCTCAAACAATCAAAGTAAAAAACCCCACGGTCATGAAATCCCGAACCAGGGATACTGAGCACTCTTTGCTCTTGTATATGTGCCAGACGTCATCTTTCCTTCCCCAGTCCGTTTGGGAACAAAGAGAAACCACAAGGAAAACAAAGCCTTGTTCTTTTTTTTGGGGGGGGGCCCTGCAGAAAGGCACACCTGCCTCTTTCTCCGGACCCTTGGATGTTTCAAACGCTTTGCCCCCCCCCCCCCCCCTCGTCTCAGCCTTGTCCTTCAGCGAAATGCTGATCCAACCTCAGCCAAGGAATCTGCCAAGGGGTCCGGCTCCACCCCCTTTTGGCTTGCTCCAGAGGAAATGCACGGTTGAGGTCCATCTGGGCTACTTTTGTTGAGGCCCTTTATCAGCTTCGAATAGAAAGGTAATCAACAGCACCCAGCAAAGCACGGCATCGACCATAGGTCAAAACAGAGCAGCAATCTTGTCGGGCTAGTGTACCGCAAGGGCCGAAAAAATAGGAATAAACTAAAACTTCATTTAGTCACATCTCTGGGAGTAAGTTCAGCTGTTAGTAGTTGGTAGAGGTGTTTTTTGTTTTACTAGGTCCGGTTGTTTAGGTCCGGTTTTCCGCAAAGCTGCCAACATTCCCGGCATCACCAACATCACTTAGACCTGGGGTTGCCTATTGGCTCTGATTGGGTGGCAGTTGGGAGTTGCTGGGGGCTGGTTTAAGTTAGGCGGGTGTTGGCTGGCTTAGATCTTCATGAGGGTGGGTCTTGGGTGGTTTGGGGTTGATTTAGGCGACGCGAAGGCTGACATCCAGGCTGCTGTTGGGCTGGCTTGGTTGGTTTTGGAGCAACGCTCCAAACCACCAAAACTTGACCAAAACTCTGTTAACCACACCCTAAAGCAACTCTAAAAGCCGCTTGCTAAACCAGCAGCACACCCCACACAAATCAGCTCCAAGCCACCCCAAACCCACTCAAAGTCAACCATAAACCCGCCCAACAGCAGCCTGGATGTCAGCCCTTCGCGTCGCCTAAATCAACCCCAAACCACCCCAAGACCCACCCTCATGAAGATCTAAGCCAGCCAACACCCCCCCTAACTTAAACCAGCCCCAGCAACTCCCAACTGCCACCCAATCAGAGCCAATAGGCAACCCCAGGTCCAAGTGATGCTGGTGATGCCGGGGATGCGACCAGCCAACCAACCAACCAACCAACCAACCAACCAACCAACCAACCAACCAACCAACCAACCAACCCATCACCAGACCTAATACAAAACCAGACCTAGTAAAATAACAAACACTACCTCCGTTAGTAGTTATTTGAACAAAAACCTTATGTCAAGTGCTACCTGTCGTCCTTGGCACTGCAACGTCTTGTGGTAAAAAAAAAAGGTTAGCATATGCGTTGTTTTGCATCGCCCGACCCGAAATGAACAGAACCGGTCAACCAAGTGCTGAGGACCCAGAAAACTGAACTGGCGCGATGTTGAGCAGCTTATTCGGTGGCCAATTTGAGTTCAACAAACTTGAGGAGACACAAAAGGTAGTAGCTCGCAGGAGATTTCCCCAAAGGCTGACAAAAGCTTGGAGATAAACCAACGATGTCCGCAGCTTGCTTCCGCACTCTTGCTGGCCATGGTTTCTGGAGCAACCCACCCCCAATCAGTAGATGCGTGATTCCGGATTCCTATGCTACACTTGACAGGATTTGGCAAGGGCATTTCCGGCCCTGGAGTATGTAGAGGCCCTGGTTACTTCCTGTAAACATGCCAATTGAATTGTTGAGGCCAACCAAAACAATCAACAGCCAGAGGGACCCCTAGTCCCAACCTGTCCCAGCTGACTTTTGTTTGGTATCAAAGTAGCTTTCGCAAAACCAGCTTGGGATCTAAAACGGCGGCTGTCCAAAAGAAAAAGGTTGAACATGTACTCTATTAACACCTAGCAAAGCAAAGTGAGATCGGAGGTTCTGATATCCACTAAAATAGAACCCACCACAGAGTCCTCTTGAGAAGAACGAGTTTTTTCCACTACCCATCAATCAGATTCCACGTTAAGTGGTGACAGCTGGCAACAACCCACACCAAACCCTCAAACAGCCCTACTACCTACGTTTCCATTTTGGGGTTTTAAGCATCACCTTGTGCTTGACAGGAGTCCTGTTTTGAGAGTGAGTGACACAAGGTGAAAGTAGCCGGTTCAGAAAACTCAGAAGTAACATACTGTGATTACCCTCCGCGTTCCCCTCTCCCTCTCTCTCTGTCTCTCGCTTTCTTTTTGTTTTCCTCTCTCTCTCTCTCTGTCTCCCGCTCTCTCTCCTTCCCTCTCTCCCTCAGTTGCCCAAAGGACCCAGAAATTTCAGGTGATCACCTTTTGGCACCTTTCACATTCTTTGCGGCACCTTTACTCACCCCTTTCGACCCCAAAAAGGGAAGGCCAGATCTGGTCAGAGGTCGATTCCTTCAGAAACGGCCGAGTGAGGACTCTCGTTCTCAGTGCCCGGCCCTCCTCTGGCCCTGTGCCGCTGACGCGCCGGAATCTCAAGCGCTCCCCCACCAGCTCCAGTTCCTACACATCGGGGCGAGGTTCGTGGGGATCTTCAACCCACTTAAGTTGGTAACTATAGTTCTATACCTGAGGTAAACAGTCTTAGTCCCCTCGATGGGTCGAATCAAGTCTGAACATTCCAGACCTCGAAACAACTAGGCTTTCATGGTGGCATAGTCATCGGTTTGATGGGGATCGTGAGGTTCATACAATCCATGCGGTCCAGAGCTTCACTTCAGACTTTAGTGGATTGGCCGGAAAGCTGACTACGCAGGAGATGCAGGTGATGTATGGCCACAGGCCTTTCAAAGGTTGAAACCCGTCCTTTCAGGCTCGCAGCTCGCAAGGGCTTTTGTTGCACCCCCCCCCCCCCCCCCCACACACACACACACACACACACACACACACACACACACACACACACACACACACACACACACACACACACACACACACACACACACACACACACACACACACACACACACACACACACACACACACACACACACACACACATGAACAGAACCAGGACACCTAAGAACCTAAATAAATGCCAACAACAACAGTGAAGTGATGGTCGAGATTCCCCAAATGGTTTCCACAACTCAATGACCATCCGGAGCCCCAAGCGACCTGGGCTTTTGGTCTTCGCTTGAATCCGAACAGCTGGAAATTGATAGCAAGCCAACAGCAAACATGCTAAACGCAGGGTGGGGGCACCCCTGCTATGAAATGTTCAAGCCACTATTGTTTGGACAAACTTTGGTTCCATTCAAAGGGGACCACGGTCTGCTGGCTTAAACAATCTAAGTCACAACCAACACCAGGTATGACTGGAGTTCACCCAAAGAAACGTACTAAGACTGCAAAAGGCTTTGTGCCGCACCTCATACCAAACATGAACAACCCTGCCGCTTAGCACGGCGTGACTGTGATTTCTGGACGGCCCCTTGAAATGTTGTCACAGCTTGGAGGCTTGGAGCACCCTTTGTTTAGCATATACGCCCCTCAAACTATGAATGCCACGAGCGAGCGCTGCTCCTGGACGATGGCGCCGGTCGACAGCCGCGAGGACGCCTGGCAATCGTGGCGGTTGTGCGAGCAGTTGGGGAACCCCTGGCCCATTCTTGGGGGAAATATACCCACTTTCGGAGCAAAGGGCAACGAACCCCCGGACAAAACACCGGCAAAGAGGCAGGTACCCGCCAAAAGGCAGGTTTCTTTGGGGGCACACTCCCAAGCTGCTGGTGTTTTCTACCGGGCCCCAACCTGGAGGTCCCACTGACTTTGATGGCTCCAAATGACTCAGTGGTGTCTCTGTACGCCTTTCTGGAGTCGGACGCCAACCCAACAGTTTTGGCCAAGTGGCGATAGCCATCTTTTGGTTGTGATTTGCCACCTCCCAAAACCTATTTGGGTGTGTCCTTTTCGAGTTGGTCCCCTTTATGGGCTCCAACCCGGTTTCAAGACTCAGCCTCCGGTTGTGATGGCTCACATCCAGTTCCTCAACCCCCCCAAACCCCCCCAAACCCCGCCCCCCCCAAACCCGCCTCGGGGGACTTGAGGTCTTGGCCCACCCGCACAACCAGGCCCTTTTCCAGGCCCCCGACCTCGCCGGAAGTGGCGGCGCTGGTCGTCCCTTTCTGGGAGTTGAACCCAAAAAACGAGAAACACGCGGCGCCATTTTGGCTTCCCCCCCCGAGAAAAAAAATATAGAAGAATGAAAAGAATACGTGGCGCTATATTTGGTCCCCCCCCCCCCCGAAATAAAGAAAAGACAAAGCCAATCGTGGCGCATCTTGGGGCTTCCCAAGCCCAAACAGCAGAGTGTTTGGCGGTTGATCAAGGGGCGCTGCCTTGGGGACCATCTTTGGGAGGTCCAAACTTGACACCTGCATCCAGATTCGGGGAACCCAGTCTTGGGAACCACATCTTGGAACCCTTTTTGGACCAACACTGTTTGGCCTGACTTGATACATTTGTGTCCTTCCTGACCGTAGGGAACCTGTTGTGACCCATTTAGGAAACAACAGGGGCACCAATTCTGTTGGTCCGAACTTTAATTGGATCTTTTTGCTGCACAACTCTCACATAACTGGGCTGGCCAAACTGATCCCCAAACAGGTTCACTTGTGGGTTAAGTGGACACCCCCCCCTTTCACCACCAAAAACCATCTAAAAGCCTTGCAAGAAGGAATTGCAGGCCAAATGAGACATGGTTCAACCAGGCCAAGCCACAATCTCCCAGCGCTGACGTGGCGGCTCCTCCACTGCCTGCCGCGCTCAGCTTGGCACAGGAACTCCCTTCCCCAGGAGAGCGCGATTAGCAGCCGAAACCTTTTTTAAACCGGAACAATTCACTTACACGGTGCAAGCAAAGCTTGCACAAACAATGAAAAGCCGATCTGCCCCAGCTGAGGTCACCGGCAAAGCCTTTCTTTCAGGCTTAGTGGGCTTTTGGCCTTTGCTGTTCCAAAGGTTGAATGAAGGTGCCCTCCTTTCAGCCGCTTTTGTGACTCCGGTTTTGTGTTTGTGGTCCATCAGACTAAACGAGCAACCCAAAGCGCCGGAACACCCTGGAATCCTCCGGAAACTCTCCCCGAAAGCTGCTCCGAAACACCCCAGAGCTTGTTTGCTGTTGCCATATGATTGTCTCGCTCGTTTGGTTGTCTCATCGGTATGATGTGCTCATGAAGTTGTCTAATCATGACCTCAGATGGTTTGTTGTTGTTTTTTTTGGGGGGGAGGGGGGTTCCCCTCCAAAAGTGGTTGAATCCCCACTAAAACCAGGGACAACCCCGTATGAATAAACGGGAGATTCTTGATCCGGGGTCGACAATTTGGTTGTTTCCCCTATGCGAAGGTTTCCCTTGGGGCAGGGCCTCCTAAGCCACGGAGCTATGCGGAAATCACCAGGCGTTGCCGCTTCAGAAGGCCTCGTGGGGCCTTTCGCCCACTGGACCGAACCAACCCTTGCAATGTACTTAGTGCCAAAGGAATGGAGCTGCTAGATATTGACAACAGCACTGGGTGCCTTTTAGAGTTGACAATCTGTTTCTGAATAACGTACACCACAGAGCCACAGGGATCAAATCGCGCCCAGAACTCAAGCCCTTTCATTGAGTACTATACGCGAAGGGGCCCCCAAACTAAAAAGTGATCCTGGGGCACCTGGGGGCCTTCGCTTCGAGTCTACCTTGCGAGGTCTATCAACCAACGGCAGCCATGTAGCAGAACTGAGTACAACTTCAGCAACAGGAGCAAAGTTTAGAGAATGGCCCATGTGTGAAACAGATGCAAAATGCCCAGGTTCATTGAAACTCAAAGTGCCCCAGCACGCGAAATGTGTTTTTCGAGGTTTCAAGCGGAACCCGTGCCCAAAGCACCTGGATAAAGCAACACAGTTTGAGCTTGGTTAATCTCAAACTTGCCAAACTGCTTAAAGCTAAAGGTCAGATCTCGAATTGGCTGCTGGTCCAAAGGTCCTTTGCATGGGGCAACCATTTTTTCACCACATGCGAAAAGTTACCCAATTAGAGGACTATTGATCAACCCCCATGTTGCTAGGAGTTGAAGGTTGGTTGTGACATGTTCGCAATGGTTTGTTGGGGTGTTGAAGGGAATATCGATCAACCCCCAATTGTTTCAGTGGAAAATACAGTGCATGAACTTCTGCAAATCCCAAGCAAGCCAAAATCGGAAATCGGGGTCATTCCCTGCATATTCATGTGTTCCTACATGTGGCTCCACATCTACTAGGTCCTCCAGTAAGAGGATAGAATAAGGGTACCCTTTTTACTGTGGTCTATTTTAGTAGGGGACCCCTCCCCCAAAAAAGAAAGGGTAAAAAGGCACCCTTCCGCTGGGGGGGCCTGGTCTCATCGGAACTGGATATTCATTTCCATCTCACCGCTCGCCGAGCAAAGATCCAAGGCTTCGTCGAAAATTCCGCTGGCCGCCTGGGCTGTGGCCAGCTGAGCGTCCAACGCCTTGGCCGCCTCTTCCGTGGCCTGCCCGGGTCGAGAAGCAACAAAAAACCTCCGGGTGGTTCTGAAAATTGGGGTGGTCCCTTTCTATGGCTCAGATCCTTTTGGCTTCCTTTTGGCTTCCTTTTGGCTTCCTTTTAGAAAGCTCCAAAAATGGATGGTCCACCAATAGAAACCTTTGGCAAGGAGTTCCTGTTTGTGTCTCTGTTTCTTGCACAGTTGGGCCCATTCGCATTGTTGGGGTTCTTCCTCTCGCCTGCTCCAACCGAGACTGGACTGTCCGTTCCATGCAATGATGAATAACCCCGTCCTAGTAATAGGGGGGTGGGCCCCCTCCAAAACTGGAGTGAATCCCAACAGTTCACCCGCCCCCATCCAGGAGCCCCATTACCATTCTCTTGCTCCATGTGTTCCTGCCCCGCAACATTCTTGGGTTTGCCCCTAACATGTAGGGTGCCTAGTGGTTTCCGTTGAACCAACCAAAACTTGGCTGTCCTCAGATCTCGCTTTTAGTGGGTTAAATGGACACCACTGAAACAACTAAAAAACAACCCAACAGCTAAGGAACCGGATGGCTGGGAGCCAAGAAAAGGTTTCCTGCCCTGCAAAATCTAGGGTTTGCCCCCCAAATGTAGGGTTCCTAGTGGTTTTTCTTTGACTCATGTTGACCCCATATTCATCAACCCCTGTTTATTTATAGGGGGTGTTCTGATCCAAAAGTGATGATTCCCCACTAACATCAGGGACACCCCCCTACAAACCTGGGGTGGATTCATCCGCGCACCGGGCCCCTCGCCTCATCAAAGTCCAGGCTCAGCGCCTCCCGAAAGTCCGCCTTCGCCTCAGTCAGGTTCGCGGGACCGGACCAAAATTGGGGCGACATAGGCTGGAACTAGGACCCAGAAAAAATATACCTCTTTTTTTGCCTGGTTGGTGGAAAACAAAGGGACCCAAAGCATTGCCAATGACCTTTTTTGCCTGGTTGGTGCAGAAAAAACACAAAAAGGGGAGCTAATTCTGTGGAAGATACGAGGAGTTCGCCTTCCGGGGCCACGAAAATGGACCAAACCAGGGGAAACCACGAGGTCAACAGATCCATTCAATTCGAGTTGGGTTGCCCTGGACCCCAACACTACAACTTCCAGTTGCGAGAACTCGCCCCCTGGAAAACATGAGAACATATGTCCAGCAATGAAATCGTTTCTCCCTCCAGCACGAGAAAGGGAAAATATACGATATTCTTACGCAAATGGAAGAAGATGACATGTTCCTCCAAAAAAGGGCCCTCTGGTGGGTTCCAAATTCGTGGTCCCCTGCAAAGCAACATGGGTGCAGTTTTGGGCCGGGGTTGTGGGAATTGTTTCCCCGAAAGTGCGCTCTTGAAAGTAGATCCTATTCCTGAACATGGAAGGATTTGTCGGGTTCCTATGTTGATCTGCAGAAGAGTGACTTGCCGTAACAAACACCTTCCCCCAACGAAAATTAACAGGTGAAGCCACACTCCGGCGTTCGGAATGCACAAAGCAGCGCTCCTTGCACCATCAGGCGGACGGATCGTCATATATGTGAAAATAATGGGTTTAAAGGGACACCACCCACCAGTTTCCCACCTCGGTATCCCCCAGAACTGGACTCAAACTCACCCCAAGCAGAGCTGCCTCCGCGAGGCTCCCGAGCTGCACGTGCGCGCGGGCCCGGATCTTGTAGGCCTCGGCGGGGTACTTCTGGCGAGGTGGCGCTGGCCCGGTGACCCGGAAATACAGGGCGGTCAAGTTCTTGGGGCCACGAAAAATTGGGTCAAACAGACCACGGAGGTCAGAAGATGGACTCAATTCGTTTTGGGAAAGTGAGAGTTGAGCTGCTGAAAGCCTTCTGCAGGCTAGCCTAGAAATTTTGCCCCAAAGGTCTACTTATGTCCATGGTTACATCAAGCCTCCACGTCCAACCAACCAGCCAGAAACAAGCTCAACCCCAAAAACAAAAACATCCAGAGTGGACGCCCCTTTTGAACACCCATCTTGTAACCCCATTGAAAATTGCAAGGGTTGCCTAAATACCAACCCTTCTTGGTCGTTTTTATAGGGAACCAAAGGGACAACCACCCGCTTTGGGGGTCCCCTACCCCCTGCTTCCTGCTTGGGGGAAATCCGCGGCTTCCCCGCGCGGAGCAAACGTCGTCGCGCGCCTTGGCACAGTCCGCCGCCACCGCCAGCGCCGCGCCGCAGTCGTGGCGCGCCGCCGCCGGTCGCTGCAGCCTCGGCCCATCCAAGGGCTGCGTTGCTTTTTGTCGGCATCATGCGGGTGGCACGTCGTTTCTTGAAAATTTGGAACCCCCATGGATGGCAGTTTTCCTTTCGGTTTCCCCTTGAGGCCACCAAACAAGAGGTACCAGCAGGCCCAAGACAAGCCACACCAGGATCTCGCTGCAAATTCGGCAGGCGGAATGGTATGACTCAACTAGCACGTTTGGGGCACCTTTTGTTTCAAGAACTCATCTCATCTGCTTCAACTGGGATGAGACAAATATGTCTGTTCCGTACTCAATCTGAGCTCAATTTATCTCCCAACTCAATGGGTAACTCCGCTCATATTCCGCTCATCTACTCTCAGTAAAACAGCGGAGAGCTGGTGTCGCCACGGGGCAACTGCCAAAGCGAGGCTACCGGGAAATCCGTCGCCGCCGCCGAGCTCTTTTATATGGGTATCTTTTTTGAGGGAACCCGTTTTTGAGTTTGTGTTGAAGGAACACCAAAGGGGTACCAGCCAAACCGAGGCTCTATTTTAAGACAACGCCATGGACGCGGTGGTTGGTTTCCCTGTTTCAACTCCTTTGCAAGTTAACAAGGAAACTCAAAAGAAGGGTCCCAAAAAATAATTTTACAATGGTTGGGTTTGTCGATAGGGGCAAACCCTCACAAAGAAAACCCCACAAATGAGGCCATATCCAACAATGTGTGTCCCTTTCGGCCAACCTCAAACGGAAACACTTAAAAAACAAAGAGGATTTCCTTTTGGCTTCCCTTCAACATAGCTAGATCCTCCAGTAGAGAGGCTAGAATAAGGGTAGGGGAAAAATTTAGGGGAACCCTCCCCCAAAAAAAGGGGAAAAGGGCCCTTCTGGGAAACCTAGAATAGTGAACCAGGGGGAGCCCCGCCCATTCTGAGCAACGCCCAAAACGCCCAAAGAAAGCCATCAGCTTGGTCCAGGGCGCCGCAGCAAAGCCTCCGCCCTACGACAGTACATCAGCGCAGAGGGGCAGCCTCAGCCAACGGAATTGACCCTCACTTCGCCATGGCAGCTGACAGGGACCCGGTCCCTACAAGAGAAAAGCGATGTTTCAGGTACCCTCCCAGGTGCCTTAGGGTAGCCTCCGGGACCACTTGAGCAGCGCCAAACAGGCTCCAGGCCATTGCAGTCTCTGAGTTGTGTATTTAGACTCTTAGACTGATCCGACTGCAAAAGAGTGCTCCTACTTTAGGCTGGTAGAAAATGAAAGCTTAGGAATGATTTGAGCACCGACACTCCCAGTCCGGGCCATTTCAGTAGGCTCTAAATGGCTCTAACAGGGCTCCCCAGTTCTTTTCCCACTAAATCACCCCAAGGGAACAAGGGAAACATAGGGACCCCTATCTAAGGCCTAGCTGGTGCCTGGTGCATTCGCGTTCTACCATCTCTATGTCAATGCATCCCAGACGCGGAGTTTCCCTTGAGCTTTCGAATCGGTGAATCTAGTAACCCTCATACAGGACCAGGATGTAACAACTAGCGGAAGTGAGGATGGGATCAGAAGACAGATAACACAATTGTTGATACGTGTCAAGCCATATATACACGGAGCTTACAATGCAATCCTGCTGTGTCTATGATATTGTATAATTGGCGAGTCAACGACAACCTTGTACAAACAGTTTACTAGAGAGAGCTTATGTTGCATTGGGGTTTGGGTTGTGTTGCATTTCGGGTTCGATCTGAAGTTGTTGCTTAAATGATCGTCTGATCAACCGAACAAACTGCAACTATTATCCCTACATCCCAACAATACGGTTGACTTGTCAAGCAACATACGGCCGCTGTTTCCCCAGACAGGGCGCTCTCTTTTTTTAATGACGCTGGGTTGGGGGCGTGCGGAACTGTCTCAATGTTAAAGGGTGAAGCTGGTCAAGGGATGCAACCAGCGTGGGCTAGTACCAGGCGGCTTTCTACATGAAACCGCCGAGGGAGGAGCGGGGATGGCGGGGGGTGGATCCTTTGGTTGAGGCATATGGTGCGCTTTCGAGAAGCAAAAGATTGGTTGACCACGCACGAACCGGTTAGAAATGGGTACCTCGAAGGACCCGAACCCTTGAGCCCCGGTTGTTTCGCAAACCATATTGTGTATGCAACTTCTAGAGGTAAACATAAGTCTTAAACCCGGGAAGCACCGCCATTGGTCAATCGTCTGCTTCGTTTCGGGAGGGCTTGTCCCGAAACTGTGGAGCCCCTAAAGAAAATGGCTTGTCGGTTGCCTTTGAAACCAGCCAAAGCAGGGCTTCCACCTCAAAGCACGCCGAAGTCAAGTCAAACTCACTCCACTCCCCAACTGGCTGCGAAAAGGGGAACCAACCCCAGATTCTGACTTTGTAAACCCGCCACGATCAACATACTGATACCAGATTTCGAAGGAGCATCGTTTGAACAGCCGTGCAAAGTGATGTGCAAAAAAAAAAAACGATTTGGGGTTCAAATCCCTTTGACACACACCCAAATGGGTCTGAAATTTACTTGGGGACCCGCTGGACATAATTTTGACATTGAGATTTACGTCCGCCAACCGTGCTTGAGGGGGTTCCAACCACCAACACCCACAACAACCGGACCCAACTCCATATTTCGACACATATGCGCGTCTGTTTTCGAGGGTACCTCTTCTTACAAAAAAAATGAAAAAAACGAGCCACCCATCTCTTTTGGAACCAACCCCTTCGAGCCGAAATTTCAAGAAATCGGCCGCGCCTAGGGCGATGGCCGCGCTGTACTTCTCCAGGGCTCTGGGCCAATCGTTGTCTTCCACCGCCTCCGCCGCCGCCTCGCTTGACGGAGGCCGGGTGGGTGCTGGGGAGGTCTGTGAGCCATTTTCAAACCAGTGTCACGACAAAAACACACTACCTAGAGTCGCCATGACCCCCAGAAAAAGGGGTCATGACCCCATAATTTTGGGCAATGACCCCATTTTTTTAAGGGTCATGGAGAGTCTAGGTGCAAACACGCCGCACACGGGATGCTCAGGAACCATGCGCACCCCTGAGATGATCTGGGCGTGATCACCGAATGGCTGGAAACCCCTCAGTCCTACCCTGCTTGTTGTTTTTGGAGCAGGATTGCACTTAGATGGGTGGGGGTTAGTCTAATGATGGCAACCCTATCTACTGGAGCGAGAGGAGAGAGAAAAAGAGAGAGAGAGAGAGAAGAAAAAAAAAAGAGAGAGAGAGAGAGGGAGGGAGGGAGGGAGGGAGGGAGGGAGGGTTGGTCCAGCCTCCCGGAGAGCCGCTTGCTTCTGCAGCTCATCCTTCGCTTGCAGGAAGCAAATCGGTCTCTCTCTAGAACAAAAACATCTGATCACCTTCACGGGCCCAAGCCATGGGGTTAGTTATGCGTTTTTGTTTTTGTTTTGTTGACTCAACTTTGTCCAAAGCTTCCTTTCAAAGCCGAAAAACGCCACAGCAACAAATACACATGGGCCACTCGGTGAAAAACCACGAAACCCCTCGGACGTGTCTCGGCTCCTCTGTCAGCGTCGCCTTTTCCGGCGCCAATGGCAAGAAGTTGTCCATGGCGAACCAGGGCGAAGGGACCAAGGACGGTTGCCACGGCCCAAGACCCAAGTAGCATCTTTTTTAGGCCCCCCCCCCTCCAAAGAAAGAAGAAGGTACTTGTCCTGTTGGTGTCCCTTTGAAACCAGCAAAAAGGGCTACCCTGAAAACGCAACACACCCGTGTGTATCATTCTTCTATCTTTGAGGTCTTTAGGTCAAGTGCCCTAATGGGTCTTTGGCCAGGGCTGCATTGGCGCCCTAAGGGCAGCCTCCGCACAGTGGTATCTTCGGAACCCTTTAGAGAAAATATTGAAAGGGAACCAACATGTTTCCCAATTGCTGTCACATACCCACATGTACCATGATACTCCTGGAGATAACAGCTTCTAGAACTTGGTTCGGCCCTTTGATGGCTCAAAAGTCTGAACTTTTATCTGACACTGGAGATGTCTTTCCCAAACTACAAAGTCCAGGAACTCAGGGAATGAGTTGGTGAGCATTCAGGTGGGGATTCATGCCCACCAGCCAACTTTGAGGTGGTTCCGGACAGCTAAACTTCCTTGCTGTCAAACAACGACGCAGATGGACAAGACCAATCTTCCTGGCACTCATGATTTAAGCCACGTGCCAGGTTCCGTCCTCAACCGGCGTTGGACTTTGGAGGCGTCACATGCATTGACAAGTTTAATTTGGCGAGTGAAACCAAGGTTGTCCCCTTTACAGCACATGGTGGTGAAATGTTCGTGCGAAAGGTGAGAAATAAGTTGCAATATACACACTGGGACACACCAAATCTCTGTATGCCACGTGGGTTTTGTGTTGGTCATGGCAACTTGAGAAACCAACTACCCCAACTTTCAACTTGGAAGTTTGCGTGGCAGTTTCGCATTGGAGCCCGTAGAATGAATTCAACATTTGAGTGTGTGTCCTTTGAGGGTACCGTTTCTTGTTGGTTCGCAGCAGGGAATGAGAATTGGAATGACCCCACAAACCATCCCTCGTGGTTTCCTCAATGGGAATCCCCTTCCGCTTCATTCCCAACGGTCCCAACACCCGACCTCAGTCATTCCCTACCTATCGCACCGGCAAGCTTTTGCGGTTGGTTCGAACGAACACCACGAAGCCAAAACCCACGTTGGGGGGAAAACGCGGTCCCCTTTGACGAGGGGAACATGGTTTGACCTCACAAAGACCAGCAAGTCCATAGCCGCACGTCCCATTCCATGCCGCCAACATCATGGACACCTTTGCGGACCGCTTTTTCAAGGTACGCAACGAGTTTAGGGTCCAACAAAGATGAGACCAGAACCTCTTGTGACCCTGTGTCAAGCAGGATCCAAACTGGAGCTTACCTGTCTAGCGCCAGGCCTGATGCGGGCCAATTCAATCCTGGCAGGGGCTTGTTCATCCATGCCTCATTTAACAAAAAATACCTAAGTATATAGTTGTGGCTGCCGGGTACATAGCGAACCTCAGGTTCCGAACGATGCTCCCGCCATCGCCTTGCGATGAGCATGACTGGCGCGAGTCGCCTTATTGCAGCCGACATCAATCAGCTGAGGTCGCGAAATATACCTGCATGGGTGTAAGTGTAAGGGTATTCCCTTTTGATTCAAAAAGGCCATGCCAAAAGGCTTGGTGCCCTTTGAGCCAAGTTCCACCCCTCACCCTAGGGTTCTGATGCGCCACCATTCCAAGAATGGCCGTGGGACGCACTTTGGATGGTCCTTAGGTAGATCATGGCGGTTATCTGAACCCCCATTCTAATTGGGGTTTGACTCCCAGGCCTCATTTTTGGAATCAACGCCAAGAGCGCCACCCAAAAAATTGGCTTGGTTTGGAGGTGTTCCGGGCCAGCTAATTCCATTCTCGGGGCCGGATTTGCACTTCAGGAGATGAGGGTGGTCTGTACTCCAGACATGTTTGATAGAAACGTTCCCCCTAACATGCTAGAAAGCACCCTCTGATGGGAGAAATCACATTTCAGGTCCGGTCAATATGACATCAGGCTCCCAAACGAGCAAATACGGGTGGCTCGTCTGTTTCTGAGGGTACCCCTTGTTTGGTGGTTTAAAGAAAAACTAAAAAGACAGCCACCGAGCCGGGAGGTCCACCAAAAGTAGAGGAGCCACCCATATGATTAAATGGTGCAAACATCTTGAAAGCCAAAAAACGTTTCGTTTGGACCCTGACTGCACACTTCTGTCAGGGAAAGCCAGTTCGCTCACCTGGACATCCGCTGCGCGGAGAAAGCATGAATTGGCCAAAAGTCCAAACTGTTTGCCAACCACTCAAGTGTCATCTTGCAAGGTGGCCAAAGCGCAGGACATCAGAGAACGAGTTGACCTTTGCAACCAACTTGTGCTATTGAAGGCAAACATGCTTTGTTGTTTCTTTGTTTGGGGGAGTTTGCCCTTGGCACACATGATCTAACGTCCCACTTGGAGGCGGTTTGTGGCCAGAAACCCCGCTATGACTTCCAACAAACAACGCTGACATAAAACGCAGCCAGTTTGCGAAGGTGAAACACAAGGAAACGCTCCAGCCGAGTTCAGAATCATACCCTTCCCAAAGGAAACCCAAATTGGGGTTATCGACAAATAGAAATAGGGTAACCCCCAAGGGTGATGCTGCGATCTCTCTTCAAAGAGCACCAATCAGGAAGACAAGCGTAAGGGGCCTAATATGGGCCCAGCTTTCCCCATCCCCGGCTTGCGCCACTTGGTGCGTCTCAAACGGGGAGGGTCCGTTGGCCCATCAGGATGTTTAGGGCATCCATTTAGGTGACCCTAGATGGGTTCTAGCGAATGGGTTCGAACAAACCGGATTTTAACGAGAGGATTCTAATAAATGGGATCTAACGAAAGAACAAGAGAGTTCTAACAAATTGGGTTTAAAGAAAGGTTCTATCAATGGGTTCCTTTCGGGTGCTACAACTCATTCCATTGGCGGCGATCAGAGCCGGTTGCTTGCAGACTCCCTACGGGTCCCCTGATCCATATCCAAAGTGCGTGGCAAAATAGTGAGGACTCCCAAGAAAGGCGGGTGCTGCTCTTTCGGCTTCCCTTTGAACCTTTCAAGCAACTACCCTCAACCAAAACCACGTACACAACCAACCTGAAGCGGGTACCCAACCAAGCAACCAACCAACCCAACCCCAACCCAACCCAACCCCAACCCAACCCCAACCCAACCCAACCCAACCCAACCCAACCCCACCCAACCCAACCCAACCGACCGACCGACCAAAAACACGTGTACGTATGTACATAATACACATTTGTTATACATATGTGTATATGTATATACATAACACATATGTAAATAATATGTATATATATATATATATTATGGAATGCCAATCGCAACACCAAGGTCTGCGCGGTTGAACACGCACCTCGGCCGACATCGGTTCATTGTTTCCGGCCTGCGTGAAGGGGATCTTCCGAACCTTCGCTGGTGAAGCATGGCCGGTTCCAGACACAAGTCCGCTGAAGCTCCAATTGGGTTCTCAAAATCGTGGGGCATTCCCTAAAGTGGCATGCTTCTCTTTTTTTTTGGGGGGGGGATTTTTTTTTGTGTGTTTTTTTCCACCCGAAATACCAACCAAAAGGAAACCCACCTAGAATAGCATTGTTTTTCCCCCCGAAATACCAACCAAAAGGGAATCAACCACTTGGGTTTCTCTTCCTTTGGAGTTGGCACCCATTTGGGATTTCAAGGAAAATCAGGAAAAACCGAAATCCATGGTGGCTTGGTGACAAAGCCTGCTATTGCAATCGTCTACCCGAGAAAAAAGAAGAAGACATGAAACGCCTTGGCAAGAATGAAAACGGCGGACAGCCCGCACCTGTTTGTGGTTGGGAGATGGGACTATCAATAAATTTCACCTGCCCCGTTTTTTTGTTTTTTTTTTTTTTATTGTGGGTCATTGGGGCCTGGACATACAAGGCGTTGCGTTTTGGAGCCAGCGAGACGCGACATGTGTTTTCAAGTAAGTCATGATTGGGTCCCTTCAAAACACAAAGTAATAGACCCAATAGCCTCAAACAAATAAAGGCAATGTACCCCCTTTGGGGCCATAACTAAAAGCTTGAATAATAAATGGAATCCAAAGATTGAAAGGTCGGCTTTGAAGTGCAGAGATGTTGCACACTCAGGGGCCCTACACATCTCGCACCCAGCGACGACACAAGCCAATGGATAGGACTTTGAAATGCCTTGCAATTGCCGCAAAGCCCAAATATGGCCATTGCTGGAAACAACAAAACTGGGTCTGGCAGAACATAGGTTCCCGGACTGAGAGAAATCAGGTGACGGAAGTTTTTTGCACATGGAACTTCCCAAAAGGGTACCTTTTTGGAGGCTGGTTGCACGGGAAATTCCAGCAGGAAGTCATTCAATCTGGGGCACCCCCATTTTTTCAAAGGAGGTTCAACCATTCGCCTAAGGATCGAACCAGCATCCAATATGGGTCAACCTTTCTTTTGATGGGGGTTGCACCCCAGTTGGCCCAGTTGGGAAGGGCGCTGACCGGAATCTGACCTGCGGCTGACCTGCGGCTGATCTCTCGAAGTAAGGAGCTCCAAAGGGAGGCTTCCAAGGTCTTCATGGGCTTCATGGACCCGATGGCTGGGAGTTCATGAACTCCTACCGTTCCGGGACAATGTCTTGGGGTTTCCTTCGGCCTTTGCCTCAATGACGAGCTGCCTCCAAATCCCGAAAAAGAAACAAAGGTTGTAAATTGCATTCTGATTCGAACCTTTGGATTCCATTGGAGGTTTTCCGAGGCGGCTTATGATTGACCCTCAAGAACTAAGGCTTTGTGTAAATTCGAAACGTTAATTAAAGCCCTCAATAAGGCTCTGAGCAAGCCCTTAATAAGGCCTTACTTGGGCTCCCTTTTTCCTCCCGACCCCATGACTGATTCAAAGTAGTTTCCCTCAGCGTCAGAAGTCTTCAAGTCAGCCTTGCGATTTGGGGGAGTGACCCCTGCCTGCGCTCGAGTGGACTCTCTCA